CGGCGGGATGGGGGTGGGACGGCGGGATGGGGGATGGCGGGAATGGGGGGTGGGACGGCGGGATGGGGGTGGGACGGCGGGATGGGGGACCGGCGGGATGGGGGTGGGACGGCGGGATGGGGGGTGGGACGGCGGGATGGGGGGATGGGACGGCGGGAATGGGCGGGATGGGGGTGGGACGGCGGGATGGGGGGGTGGGACGGCGGGATGGGGGGTGGGACGGCGGGATGGGGGGTGGGACGGCGGGATGGGGGACGGCGGGATGGGGATGGCGGGATGGCGGGGGGTGGGGACGGCGGGATGGGGGGGGACGGCGGGATGGGGGGGGACGGCGGGACGGCGGGTGGGGACGGCGGGATGGGGGGGGACGGCGGGATGGGGGGGGACGGCGGGATGGGGGGTGGGACGGCGGGATGGGGGGTGGGACGGCGGGATGGGGGACGGCGGGATGGGGGGGGACGGCGGGATGGGGGGGGGACGGGGGATGGGGGGTGGGACGGCGGGATGGGGGCGGGGGATGGGGGGTGGGACGGGGTGGGACGGCGGGATGGGGCGGCGGGATGGGGACGGCGGGATGGGGGTGGGACGGCGGGATGGGGGGTGGGACGGCGGGATGGGGGTGGGACGGCGGGATGGGGGGGGACGGCGGGATGGGGGGGGACGGCGGGATGGGGGTGGGACGGCGGGATGGGGGATGGGGAGGAGGGCGGATGGCGGGATGGGGGGGGAGCGGCGGGATGGGGGTGGGACGGGGCGGGATGGGGGGTGGGACGGGGGCGGAATGGCGGGATGGGGGGGGACGGCGGGAATTGGGGTGGTACGGGCGGGATGGGGTGGGACGGCGGATGGCGGATGGGGGGGGGACGCGGGATGGGGGGGGGAACGGCGGATGGGGGGTGGACGGGCGGATGGGGGGTGGACGGCGGATTGTGTGCGGTGGGGGGGGCGGCGGGATGGGGTGGGACGGCGGGGATGGGGGGGTGGGAACGGAGGGGGAGCGGGATGGGGGGGTGGGACGGCGGGATGGGGGACGGCGGGAGGGGGATGGCGGGATGGGGGTGGGACGGCGGGAATGGGGGTGGGACGGCGGGATGGGGGTGGGGACGGCGGATGGGGGTGGGGACGCGGGATGGTGTTGGGACGGCGGGAATTGGGGGTGGGACGGCGGAGATGGGGGGGTGGACGGAGGGATGGACGGCGGGATGGGGGTGGACGGCGGGATGGGGGTGGGACGGCGGGATGGGGGGTGGGACGGCGGGATGGGGGGTGGGACGGCGGGATGGGGGGGGGACGGCGGGATGGGGGGTGGGACGGCGGGATGGGGGGTGGGACGGCGGGATGGGGGGGACGGCGGGATGGGGGATGGCGGGATGGGGGGTGGACGGCGGGATGGGGGGTGGGACGGCGGGATGGGGAGGCTGGATGGGGGAGGCGGGATGGGGGGGGGGGCGGCGGATGGGGGGTGGGACGGCGGGATGGGGGGTGGGAGGCGGGAGGCGGGATGGGGGGTGGGACGGCGGGATGGGGGGTGGGACGGCGGGATGGGGGTGGGACGGCGGATGGGGGGGGACGGCGGGATGGGGGGTGGGCGGGATGGGGGTGGGGGACGGCGGGATGGGGGTGGGACGGCGGGATGGGTGGGCGGCGGGATGGGGGGTGGGACGGCGGGATGGGACGGCGGGATGGGGGGTGGGCGGCGGGATGGGGGTGGACGGCGGGATGGCGGGATGGGGTGGGACGGCGGGATGGGGGTGGGACGGCGGGATGGGGGTGGGGACGGCGGGATGGGGGGTGGGACGGCGGGATGGGGGACGGCGGGATGGGGGATGGCGGGGATGGGGGTGGGACGGCGGGATGGGGGTGGGACGGCGGGACGGGGGATGGGGGGGGGACGGCGGGATGGGGGGGGACGGCGGGATGGGGGGTGGGACGGCGGGGATGGGGGGTGGGACGGGCGGGATGGGGGATGGCGGGATGGGGTGTGGGACGGCGGGATGGGGGGATGGGGGGGGGACGGCGGGATGGGGGTGGGACGGCGGGATGGGGGGTGGACGGCGGGATGGGGAGGTGGGGCGGCGGGATGGGGTGGGACGGGGGATGGGGGGTGGGACGGCGGGATGGGGGAGGCGGGGCGGGATGGGGGTGGGACGGCGGGATGGGGGGTGGGCGGCGATGGGGGTGGGACGGCGGGATGGGGGGGGGGACGGCGGGATGGCGGGATGGGGGGGGGGGACGGCGGGATGGGGGTGGGACGGCGGAGATGGGGGTGGGACGGCGGGATGGCGGGATGGGGGGCGGGACGGCGGGATGGGGGGTGGGACGGCGGGATGTGTGGGGACGGCGGGATGGGGGATGGCGGGATGGGGGGTGGGACGGCGGATGGGGGTGGATGCGGGATGGGGTGGGACGGCGGGATGGGGGTGGGACGCGGGATGGGGGGGTGGGACGGCGGGATGGGGGGGTGGGACGGCCGGGATGGCGGGTGGGGTGGACGGCGGGATGGGGGGTGGGACGGCGGGATGGGGGTGGGAGGCGGGACGGGCGGGGGAGGGGATGTGGACGGCGGGATGGGGGTGGGAGGCGGATGGGGGGTGGGATGGCGGGATGGGGGGGGCGGTGGGGGGTGGGAGGGGGGGGACGGCGGGATGGGGGGTGGACGCGGGATGGGGGGTGGGACGCGGGATGGGGGGTGGGACGGCGGGATGGGGGTGGGACGGGGGATGGGGGGGGACGGCGGGATGGGGGTGGGACGGCGGGATGGGGGTGGGACGGCGGGATGGGGGGGGACGGGGATGGGGGGTGGGGACGGCGGGAATGGGGGGTGGGACGGCGGGATGGGGGGTGGGACGGCGGGATGGGGGTGGGACGGCGGGATGGGGGTGGGAGGGGGGGATGGGGGTGGGACGGCGGGATGGGGTGGGACGGCGGGATGGGGGGTGGGACGGCGGGATGGGGGGTGGGACGGCGGGATGGGGGGTGGGACGGCGGATGGGGTGGGACGGCGGATGGGGGGTGGGACGGCGGGATGGGGGGTGCGGGGATGGGGGGTGGGAACGGCGGGTGGGGACGGCGGGATGGGGGGTGGGACGGCGGGATGGGGGTGGGGATGGGGGTGGGGGGGGATGGGGACGGCGGGATGGGACGGCGGTGGGGACGGCGGGATGGGGGGTGGGACGGCGGGATGGGGGGTGGGACGGCGGGATGGGGGGTGGGACGGCGGGATGGGGGTGGGGGTGGGACGGCGGGATGGCGGGATGGGGGGGGGGACGGCGGGATGGGGGGGGGCGGCGGGATGGGGGGTGGGACGGCGGGATGGGGGTGGGATGGGGCGGCGGGATGGGGGGTGGGACGGCGGGATGGGGGTGGGACGGCGGGATGGGGGTGGGGGTGGGGGCGGGATGGGGGGTGGGACGGCGGGATGGGGGGGGGACGGCGGGATGGGGGCGGGATGGGGTGGGCGGAGTGGGGGGTGGGACGGCGGGATGGGGGGTGGGACGGCGGTGGGGGGGCGGGATGGGGGGTGGGACGGCGGGATGGGGGGGGACGGCGGGATGGGGGGGGAGGGCGGGGGTGGGGGTGGGGTGGGCGGCGGGATGGGGGGGGGGACGCGGGTGGGGGGGAAGGCGGGGATGGGGGATGGGCGCGGATGGGGGTGGGGGGGGGGGAGGGGGATGGGGGGTGGGGCGGCGGGATGGGGGGGGGCGGGGATGGGGGGTGGGACGGCGGGATGGGGGACGGCGGGATGGGGATGGGGGAGGCGGGATGGGGGCGGCGGGATGGGGGTGGGGCGGCGGGATGGGGGTGGGGCGGCGGGAATGGGGGGTGGGGCGGGGCGGGATGGGGGGGGTGGGCGGCGGGATGGGGGTGGGACGGCGGGATGGGGGTGGGACGGCGGGATGGGGGATGGCGGGATGGGGGGGGACGGCGGGATGGGGGTGGCGGGGGGGTGGGGCGGCGGTATGGGGGGTGCGGACGGCGGGATGGGGGGTGGGACGGCGGGATGGGCGGGATGGGGGTGGGACGGCGGGATGGGGGGGGGACGGCGGATGGGGGGGATGGGGGTGGGACGGCGGGATGGGGGGTGGGATGGGCGGGACGGGGGGGATGGGGGGTGGGACGGCGGGATGGGGGTGGGACGGCGGGATGGGGGGTGGGACGGCGGATGGGGGGGGGACGGCGGGATGGGGGTGGGACGGCGGGATGGGGGGGGGACGGCGGGATGGGGGTGGGACGGCGGGATGGGGGGCGGCGGGATGGGGGGTGGGACGGCGGGATGGGGGATGGCGGGATGGGGGGTGGGACGGCGGGATGGGGGACGGCGGGATGGGGGGTGGGGCGGCGGGATGGGGGATGGCGGGATGGGGGGTGGGACGGCGGGATGGGGGACGGCGGGATGGGGTGGGGGGGCGGGCGGGATGGGATGGCGGGATGGGGGGGGGACGGCGGGATGGGGGATGGGGAGGGGGTGGGGACGGCGGGATGGGGGGTGGGACGGCGGGATGGGGGTGGGACGGCGGGATGGGGGGGGACGATTGGATGGGGTGGGACGGCGGGATGGGGATGGGGATGGGGGCGGCGGGAGTGGGGTGGGACGGCGGGGATGGGGGGGGGGGTGGGACGGCGGGATGGGGGGTGGGACGGCGGGATGGGGGTGGGACGGCGGGATGGGGGACGGCGGGGATGGGGGGTGGGATGGCGGGATGGGGGGTAGGACGGCGGGATGGGACCCGCAGAGCCGGGAGAGCTGGCCCCTCGGCTCTTGGCGGGGAGCGCTCCTCACGCAGCCTGTTGTCTGCTGTGCACAGGCACCGCCCAGTGAGAAGCTGTGAGCTGTCCGAAGGGTGTTAGGATGTGCCCTTTTCTCTTTAAGATTTCAAGCTGAGTGGTGCAAACTGTGGAAGCGGCCGAGCGGAGGGGGACGCCGCGGGACAGTGGACACGGGCGGCTGGGCGGCCGGCCGGGCGGGCGGCGGAGTCCCTGAGCCGTTTGCTCTCTTGCAGGCTGACGAAGCCCCTGTCGTTCGCGGACTGTGTTGGGGATGAGCTGCCGTGGGGCTGGGAAGCGGGGTTCGACCCCCAGATCGGTGTCTACTACATCGACCACGTCCACAGTAAGTGTTGGCGGCGGGAGGCCGTGCGGGGCGCCGCTCCCCCACTGGGCCTCGGGGCGTCCCGGCAGGAGTCCGGGCGTGTGTGTGGGGTGGGGGCTCCGGGGGCGAGAGAGAAAGGTGTCCTCTGTCCGTCTGTCCGTCTGTGTGCCCGCCCCGCGGGGGGAGTTCCTCAGGGCAGGGCTGGCCTCTCTCCATGACCGCCGTCAGGCTGGCTTCCTCCGGCCCCCGCTTGGCCCAGGAGGTGCTGGCCCAGGACGTGGGAGGGCGCGGCTCTGTGTGCGGGTGTGTGAGGGGGTGTGTGTGTGTGTGTGTGTGTGTGTGGGGGGGTGTGTGTGAGGGGGTGTGTGTGGGTGTGTGTGAGGGGGTGTGAGGTGTGTGTGTGGGGTGTGTGATGTGTGTGTGTGTGTGGTGTGATGTGGTGTGTGTGTGTGTGGTGTGTGTGTGAGAGGGTGTGTGTGTGTGGGGGTGTGTGTGTGTGTGTGTGTGTGTGTGTGCGGGTGTGTGAGAGGGTGTGTGTGAGGGTGTGTATGTGTGTGGGTGTGTGTGTGTGCGGGTGTGTGAGAGGGTGTGTGTGAGGGTGTGTGTGTGTGTGAGGGGTGGTGTGTGTGTGTGAGGGTGTGTATGTGTGTGAGGGGGTTGTGTGTGGGGGGATGTGGGGGTGTGAGGGGATTTGGGGGCGGTGAGGGTATGTGTGTGTGTGGGTGTGTGGGTGTGTGTGTGTGTGGGTGTGTATGTGTGTGAGGGGTGGTGTGTGTGTGTGAGGGTGTGTATGTGTGTGAGGGGGTGTGTGTGTGAGGGGGATGTGGGGTGTGAGGGGGTGTGTGTGGGGGGATGTGGGGGTGTGAGGGGATTTGGGGGGTGTGAGTGTGTGTGTGTGTGAGGGTATGTGTGTGAGGGTGTATGTGTGTGAGGGTGTGTGTGTGAGGGGTGTGTGTGTGTGTGAGGGTGTATGTGTGTGAGGGTGTGTGTGTGAGGGGTGGTGTGTGTGTGTGAGGGTGTGTATGTGTGTGAGGGTGTGTGTGTGTGAGGGAGGTGTGTGGGGGGTGTGAGGGGATTTGGGGGCGGTGAGGGTGTGTGTGTGTGTGTGGGTGTGTGGGTGTGTATGTGTGTGAGGGTATATGTGTGTGAGGGGTGGTGTGTGTGTGTGAGGGTGTGTATGTGTGTGAGGGTGTGTGTGTGTGAGGGGGTGTGTGTGTGAGGGGGATGTGGGGTGTGAGGGGGTGTGTGTGTGGGGATGTGGGGGTGTGAGGGGATTTGGGGGGTGTGAGTGTGTGTGTGTGTGAGGGTATGTGTGTGAGGGTGTGTGTGTGAGGGTGTGTATGTGTGTGAGGGTGTGTGTGTGTGAGGGAGGTGTGTGGGGGGTGTGAGGGGATTTGGGGGCGGTGAGGGTGTGTGGGTGTGTGGGTGTGTATGTGTGTGAGGGTATATGTGTGTGAGGGGTGGTGTGTGTGTGTGAGGGTGTGTATGTGTGTGAGGGTGTGTGTGTGTGAGGGGGTGTGTGTGTGTGAGGGGGGTGTGTGTGGGGGGATGTGGGGGTGTGAGGGAATTTGGGGGGTGTGAGTGTGTGTGTGGGGGTGTGTGTGTATGTGTGTGAGGGTGTGTGTGTGAGGGGTGGTGTGTGTGTGTGAGGGTGTGTATGTGTATGAGGGTGTGTGTGTGTGAGGGGGGTGTGGGGGGGTGAGGGGATTTGGGGGCGGTGAGGGTGTGTGTGTGTGTGTGTAGGGGAGGGTGAGGGTGGGCCCTTGGCCAGCTGGGAGCACAGCCGTGGCTGAGGGGAAGCCCTGCCTTTGTCTGCCTCTGCTCCCTGAGTTCTCTGTGTTTGGGCAGTGGGGCAGGAGGGGCGCACACCTCTCACTCTGAGAGCTTTCACTGTCTCCTCCCTGGCACGGCCAGCTGGGCAGAGGACTGGCACAGCATGGACGCTTCTGCACCCGTGCTGAAGGGTTTTATGTGCTTGCACGGGTGTGTTATGTTTATAGTAGCTGTTTACCTCTGGAAAGTGGTGTTCAGATGGCTGCATATGACACTCACTGATACACATTTTGTTTATTTCACTTAAGAATAATTGCTTTGCTTTCCTAGATGCTGAGAAATACATGGTAAGTGTATATTCCGTTATCTCACATCTCTTAGGTCTATTAAACTTCACGTCCTGTAGTCCGTGTGAGTCGTTAGGAACGCTGTCACGGAGGAGATCCTTTTAGCTGGTGCTCGTTTATCCGTGAGGCCGTGCAAGGCTTTCTGCTCGCGCCCGCACGTCTCCCTGGCGACGACTCCAGCTCTTCCTGAGGCTGATGGCCGGCCAGCTGGTCTCTGAGGTCGTGCCCAGAGGACGGGAGCACTGGTTCCTCCCGTGAGCCTCTGCAGTCCTCCCCCCTCAGGCTGTCCTGTCCCTCCCGCGTGTGCCCAGCCCGCCCCGTCCGCCTGGCACAGAGGGCACTCGCTGTGCCCGGGCCTCCTCGGCCTTTCTTCCGTCTGTTGGTTTTAGCCCCAAGCACTGTCTGCCCAGCCCCGGGCCCTCGCTCTTGGCCACTGCCCCGCCCTCTGGGGTCCGCCCGCCCAGGCCCCCTGCTCCCCTAGGCCCTGTGGTCCCCAGCCTCCACCTCGCTGGTCCCACCGCCTCCTGATTGAGGCCCCGGCCCCGGTATTGCTGTACCAGGTCCTCAGGGGTTTTAAAAACCTCTCCTCATGTTGCATTAAATGACCCATTCTTATGTTTCTCTCATAAATCGAGGCCAAGGACTGCATCTTCTTTACCCCTGGTGTAATGATTCCCTCTGACATGTAGAAGGAAGAAAGAGCTTATAGTTTAACTCACGGAGGAGAGAGAAGCTTCTTGGTAGTTTCTGAAGAGATTGAAGTGCATTTCAAGTATGAATTGTGCTTCGGAAAGCACCACTCGGAGTATTTAAAGTCTCAATTATCAGAATGGCCGCTTCTAAGCCTCCTCCTTTGCTTTGGCGCCGTGGGGGTCTCCCAGCGCCCGGGGCCTGGCCCCGCAGGGCCCGGGTACGCACAGGCGGCGGTTCCCGCCCAGAGGCCCGCTCCGCCAGCTCATTAATCTCACCGACAGCCCCGGCGCTACCTTCTCCCAGCAGCTGCCCACGCATATGTGGTGGGTGTCCTGACATTGGACGGTCTCAGCATTATTTTCTCTTTATTTGAATAAAAAACAAGGCAGAGCATGTTTGGCTGTTTAACACTATTTCCGTGTAGCACCATTAGATATCTGTGAGTAAAAGATCTGACCTTGGCAGTGGTGGTTGTAACAGGCCTCGTGTTTGATGGCGGAACGCACCTTTGCGTGGGTGAGAGGGGGAGAGGGGGTATGGATGTTGGGGGGCGGGGGGGAATTAACTAACCAGAAGGTGATCATGAAATACTGTCTGTGAGATGTCGATATTATTACTAAAATCAGAAGTAAATAACTTTTCGGTAAGGTCAGACTTACTGTACCCTAATTTTTGGTCTTTTCCTTAGTGTTTCCTTAGGTCTCATTTGCCTATAAGAAAACGCACAGATGTTAAGTGTGTATTTCAGTGAGATCTGGCAGGTGCCATTCTGGTCACAATACCGAGTGTGCTCACAACCTGTCAGTTCCCTCCTGCCCCTCCCCCATGCCCGCCCCCTCCAGGCGGCCAGGGCTTCCGAATTCCGCTGTCACAGCTTCCTTTCCCTGGCCTAGAACGTCCTGCAAACGCCGTGTGTGGGTTTTGTGAAAAGAGTCTCCACACAAGGGAGTGTGTTTGATTTTGCGAATGGAGTCTTCACACGACACATTTTAGAGGATGTGCTGCTGAATACAATATCCGGGTTGGATATGTACAGTACACATATCTGACAAAGAACCCGGATCCAGGACGGGTGACTGACTCCGGAAAATCAACATTGAAAAGACAACCCGACTTAAAAAGCGCAAAAAACCTAGACACTCCCTCACCCTCACCCTCACCCTCCTTTCTGCCGCCCCGCCGCCTCTTTCCTGGGGTCTGGCTCCCACCCCTTCTGTTCCCCCCGCAGGCCCGGCGTATTCTGACTGCAGAGCCCGGCTCCGAGTGTTTTCCGCCCCCTGTCCGTGGTTTCGGGGTGTCGTCAGTGGGAGAGCTGGGGTGCGGTGTGCCTCCTCCTCATGACCCCCAACCAGCCCCTGTGTTAGCGGCAGAGCAGCCGGGGGCCAGGCCAGGCGTGGGGCCGCCCTCCGGTATTGGGGACACTCTCGGTGGGTTGTTCCCCTGAGCCCAGGGAAGCCAGCAATCGTTTGGTCTGGCCCTGCCAAGGCAACCACAGGCGGGACTCGAATCTCCACAAATCCAGGAGCTTTACATTGATACTACGCGAATGATGTTATACATCTCCAAACGGCCCTTGGCAGAACACAAGGTTCCCCACCCCCACGTCAGAAGAAAGAAAATAAATCAGGGCCCCATCTGTTTCATCCCTGCCTTATTTCATCCTTTCTGTTTTCCTAGGAGCAGAAACTTAATGTGTTTTATAAAGAAAACATTTACACCAGGTGCTGACTCTGTTGTCAGCCGTGTCACTGCCGAGTGAACGTCCACACGTTCCCCGTCCTTGTCCGAGGGGTCCCTGTTTCTCCACCGGGTGTGGAGGTGACGCGGGCGGCCACCCCTCCCCTGAACCCGCCCTCTTCCCACTCCACGCTGTCTCTCTCCTCAGCGGCCTGGACTCCTCTGAGTCACTCCCCTGGGGTGCCCTCCCCTCGCCCTGCCTCCGCCTACAGCGGCCCTGGCCCGCTGCTCACCACTCTCCCCGGGACTCCCGGCTGATCCCCCCGGTCTCCACAGACGTTGCCGGCTTAGGACACGGTGACTTGTTCCGTTGTCAGAACTTCAAAACACACAGACACAAAACGGGATTCTTCAGATCCCCTCTGATGGTATGGTTTGTGGGGAAATGTTCTAGTCCTCATGGTTACTGACTTGAACAACGGAGAACCATTTTGTGGGTCCTTGATGATCTTTTTCTCTGTTCCGTAATCTCAGATTCGGTCCTTCAGCCTTCTTTCCGCTGCCTTTTTCCTAATTCAGACCCTCCTTACCTGTGTCTGTTATTCTTTCCCCTTTAAAAAGAAATTTCACAAGAAGAATCAATGTGCATAGGTGGAAAGTAGAAAATGCAGGTAAATAACAGAAAGTAAAATATTGTCCATAGTTACACAACCCAGAGGTAACTCCGCACCCTAAACCTGTGAGTGTGTATCCTTAAAGACATTTCCTTGTTCACAGTCACACACACACACACACACACACACACACTCAGCTCTAAATACACCCCCAGTGGGATTATATTATACTTAGGGTATTAAAAATGGCTTTTTTCACATAATGCACCATCTTCCATCGAAAAGCCGCCCGATCAGTCCTGTCAGAGCCTCGAGGGTTTAGGAGGCGATCTTCCTGCATCCCGCTGGGACCGCCCTGGCCTGGCCTGGGCCAGGCGGCCCCAGTGCAGTCTCCTTCCCCTGGAGTTCAGAGCCTCAGGCTGGTCCCCTGAAGGGGGAGTGAGGAGGGCAGTGGAATGCGGAGGGACAAACCTCCATGGCTGGACAGAACAAAGGCTCCTGCCATTGGGAGGGGGAGGGGGCGGGGGGCGCGCGCTGCTGGCTGCTTAGGGAAGGGCGTGGGCCCGGACGAGAATGCCCTACCCGGGCCCTAGAACTTGGAGATGGGGGAACCAGAAGCTTCCGGCAGAAGGAAGACCACAGCGGAGGCCACGGAAGGCAGGGCTTGGGAGGGAGGAAAGGAAGGCAGTGTGGCTGAGGGCGGCGGGGGCTGGTATTAGAGCCCGCAGACATACAGTAGCTGTACACAATGTTTAAACGTCGCCTCTTGGCGCCTTACTCATCGCCATGGGCACGTGGCAGTTCCGGGCGGACGCTGGTCTGCAGAGGGACCCTGCGCAGCACTGATTGGAGGCAGCCTGGCATTGTGCATGGAAGCGTGTGTGTGTGTGTGTGTGTGTGTGTGTGTGTGTGCATGGAGGTGTGTGTGTGCATGAAGGTGTGTGTGTGTGTGCATGGAGGTGTGTGTGTGTGTGTATGGAGGTGCGTGTGTGCATGAAGGTGTGTGTGTGTGTGTGTGTGTGTGTGTGTGTGTATGGAGGTGTGTGTGTGCAATAAGGTGTGTGCATGGAAGCATGTGTGCATGTGGAAGCGTGTGCCCAGGAAGGTGGGCAGGTTCGGGCCATGCAGGGCTGTGAATGCTGGCCCAGGTGGTGTTTTCTTCCTAGGGGCTGGGGGGCCGGGGAACTCCGAGAGGAGGGACCCCATCTCCGCTGTGGGTACTCTCACTGTGACCGTGGTGTCTGATGGGTTCACAGGGACAACACACTGTTGACAAGGACCTGAAAGGGGAGGCTGGAGGGGAGGACTGGGCAACATAAAGCAAAAACTGTCCCATTCCTGGGGACGTCCCTTTGCATATACTAATGCATTACCTGGAGGCCAGCTATGTTTTAAAGAAAGCTTAAACAATAATAATAATAACAACAACAGCATGAATGCTGAAGAATGACCCTCCTGTGCTCCCAGAGACCACGCAGATCGAAGACCCCAGGAAACAGTGGCGGGGGGAGCAGGAGAAGATGCTCAAGGACTACCTCTCGGTGGCGCGGGACGCGCTGCACACGCAGAAGGAGCTGTACCACGTGAAGGAGCAGCGGCTGGCCCTGGCCCTGGACGAGTACGTGCGGCTCAACGACGCCTACAAGGAGAAGTCGAGCTCCCACACGAGCCGTAAGTTCGTCCGCGTGGCTGCCACGGACCCGGGGCCACTGCCACGGACCCGGGGCCACTGCCACGGAGCCCGGGCCACTGCCACGGTCCCGGGCCACTGCCACGGAGCCCGGGGCCACTGCCACGGAACCCGGGCCACTGCCACGGAGCCGGGGGCCACTGCCACGGAACCCGGGGGCCACTGCCACGGAGCCGGGGGCCACTGCCACGGAGCCCGGGCCACTGCCACGGAACCCGGGCCACTGCCACGGAACCCGGGCCACTGCCACGGAGCCCGGGGCCACTGCCACGGAGCCCGGGCCACTGCCACGGAGCCCGGGGCCACTGCCACGGAGCCCGGGCCACTGCCACGGAGCCCGGGGCCACTGCCACGGACCCGGGGGCCACTGCCACGGAACCCGGGCCACTGCCACGGAACCCGGGCCACTGCCACGGACCCGGGGGCCACTGCCATGGAGCCCGGGCCACTGCCACGGAGCCGGGGGCCACTGCCACGGAACCCGGGGGCCACTGCCACGGAGCCCAGGCCACGCGGCACGGGGGCAAGGCCCGGGGCCGCTGGGGTTTCCTCCGGGCCCTGTTCCCGCTCAGCGGGGGAGACCTCTCAGTGAGGCCCCTGATGGGGGCCACACATTCTTCCTGTGTCTGCTCCCCCTCTGCCTGCTGGCCTTTATTCATTTTTGAGTCTGTTTTTGCTCTTTCAGAGGAAGGCAGGTGAGTAGCCGTTTGGCTGCCCTGACACTCTTTGTCGTGGGAGGAACCGGGCCATTGGAATGACGTTCCCCTGGCCCCCTCACCTCCCAGACGGGACTGGGGTGGCCTCGCTGGAAGCAGCAGCATGTGGCTCAGACATCCCCTGAAACGGTGGCTTTCGGGGTGACACGAAGCTGATAGACGGCATGTGCCACAGACTTTATTCACTGGTGAACTCAGAAGAAACCAGTACCAGGGTCCCTATGACACGTGTCTTTCTTGAGTTGTTTTTTTTGTTTTGTTTTGTTTTAATATATTTTATTGATTTTTTTTTACAGAGAGGAAGGGAGAGGGATGGAGAGTTAGAAACATCAATGAGAGAGAAACATCGACCAGCTGCCTCTTGCACACCCCCTTCTGGAGATGTGCCCGCAACCAAGGTACATGCCCTTGACTGGAATCGAACCCGGGACCTTTCAGTCCCCAGGCCGACGCTCTATCCACTGAGCCAAACCGGTTTCGGCTTTCTTGAGTTGTTTTTTTTTTTTTTTTTTAATTTTTTATTATGAAGCCTTTAAGATTATTGTTCATACTTAAGAGTCTGATGAATGACAGTAGCGAAATGATGCAGTCAGTACCCGTGCACGCACGGGACTGGTTTGTAGAGTGTGAGTTCTGAGCTCTCGCCGGTGACAGCCTGTTTTCCTCTCTCCCTGGAAGTGTTCTCTGGGTCCTCGTCGAGCACCAAGTACGACCCCGACATTCTGAAAGCGGAGATCTCCACCACGCGGCTGAGGGTAAGGTCTTAGTCCCAAGATTTCTGTTTAATTGTTTGGATACTTGCCCAAGCTCTGAACATTGATATGTAATTTTTTTCAACAAAATAATCACACTTACCGTATTTTTCCGGCGTATAAGACGACCCCCTAATTTTACAGTTAAAACATAGGTTTAGGCCTATATTCACTGTATAAGACTACCCTCCACTTCCGAGTTAACACCAGTTCTTTTTTCAATTAGATTTTTAATGAATGACTCCCAATTTTCGGTTGACTTTTTTTTCCGGTTCAAAAGTCGTCTTATACACCGGAAAATATGGTACGTTTTAAGTTCCGTGTGTTGATTAGGATAATACCTAGGTTTCTTATAGGTTGCATTCTTCAGTGTGGTCTGAAGAATGGTTTTGATTTGGGGTCAGTATTTGACCTCTGACAGCCGCTTGCTTTGTAGTAAGAGCCTTATGTGTGAAAACACAAGAAGATAGCTTAAGGCGTGGGATGATCTTGTCATCCTTCAGAGAGCAGTTAGCTTTGCTTCTTGTCGGAAGGCAGGCCAGGGACACACGGTTGTAACTCAGTCAGGGCTTGTGCTGTCTGAGACCTGAGCGACTGGCCACCGGAGGGGGTGTGCTCCCGCAGAGGGAACATCATGTGCGGGAGCCGGTGGCGCGCTGCTGGCGTGTCGGAGAGGCAGAGTTAGCGAGGCCGTGGTGTGGAGCCCGCCGCTCCCTTCCCGGCTGCTTATCACGAACTGGAGACGGTGGTGAGGGGGCGCGCCCAGGAGCGCTGCTAGCTGGACGCGGAGGGTTAATACCTGCAGTAACGTTGGCCACGGATAACTTACACACAATTAACCACCAGGCACAGAATTCCTGTCCAGGTGAAACCAGCAGAGTGAATGTTCAACTCAGGGCCGTGTCCGTGTGTTTAATAGTTTACTGACGGGTTATCTTTTAAAGCGGGGCTGCTAATTATTCACACACTCGCGTGCTCACGCTGATTTCTCCCCGAAGGTTAAGAAGCTGAAGCGGGAGCTCTCGCAGATGAAGCAGGAGCTGCTCTACAAGGAACAAGGCTTCGAGACGCTGCAGCAGTGAGTATACGGCCTGAGGCCTCGGGGTGGCTCCCGGCCCCCCAGCTCCTGCAGGTGCAGGGCCCACACGGCGTTTCTCAGGGAAGCACACAGGCAGGAGCTCAGAGCTCTGCACACGGGGGATCCAGCCTGCACACGGGGGATCCAGCCTGCACACGGGGGATCCAGCCTGCACACGGGATCTCTGCCTCCGGGAAGAGCTGGTGTTGTTACTCCTCATGGGAGACCCAGGGAAACCGGTGAAAGCTCGCTCAGCTCCGTGCCTGCGGGCGGCTCCAGGCCTGAGGTGGAGCAGAGGGACGAGCAGGGTGTGCCCCACATCCCCCTCCAGCTGCACTGAGCATCCCCGGGCTGGCCTGGAGGTGGTGCCTCTGCCCCCCTCACCCCAGCTTGGCCTGGAGTCTCCCGGGGCTGGCCTCGGAGCAGGGTCCTGTCAGCACCCGAGGTGAGGCGTCCCCCGCTTCCCAGGCCTGTCTCAGGTTCAAGGACCCACAGGGCCTCCCGCCCCCACCCACAGGGCCTCCCACCCCCGCCCACAGGGCCTGCTGCCCCACCCAGAGGGCCTCCCTGCCCCCACCACAGGGCCTGCTGCCCCCACCACAGGGCCTGCTGCCCCCCACCCACAGGGCCTGCTGCCCCCCACCCACAGGGCCTCCCGGGCCAGGAGGAAGCAGGCTCACAGCCCATGCCCACAGACAGAGGCTGGAGGGCCTCGTCCCCGAAGGCGTTCAGCTCCTTGACTTCCCTCCCCTGCGATGCAGGCTCTGCACCCGCCACGGGGCGGTGTTTGCAGGGATTCCCTCCACGCAGTGTCCCGTCCCCCTCAGGGCAGGCCCAGCTGGCACGGCGCCCCTTCGGAAGGCCCCGTGTGAGGGCGGGGCAGACACTGTGATTGTCCACGTGCTGGGTGATGAGTTGTGTCTCGGAGGCCCAGTCGCTCTGGACCGCCAGTCGTGTGACTTGACTCTCAGACACTGGTCGGTGGCTCCTCTTCTCTGCCCACTCACCTGGAATCCGACCACGATGTTCTCTCAGACACGCCCACCCTGTGTTCTCAGATATGAGCACGTGCTAGAGGCATGGGGGGGAGGGATAAAGTAGCCTGTGTCTGTGTGACCCAGGCCTGTGTTAGGAGCCCGGGCCAGGGTACATGTGGCTCTTCTAAGAGTCCCGTGGCTCGAGGGCCCTGACCTGTGGGCAGAGCCAGGGGACACACGTGTGGTTCAGCGGTCGGGCCGCAGCCTGAAGGGGGCGCTGTGGCCGGAGGGGAAGAGGGACGGGTTCGGGAGCACCGCCCGGCGCGGAGCCACACGTTAACGTCCCTCGGGCCCGTGAACGTGCGGCCGCGTCCCCACCGGGGGCCGAAGGTTAGCCAAACTCGCCGTCTCTGTTATGTCGCGGACACAAAGCCGGGTTGTCTCCCGTTTTCACAGGAATCCCAGGCATGCTGAAGAATCTGTCAATAACATTCCTCAGGAACACAATCGCCGCTTGTTGTAGAAACGCAGGCATTCTCCCGCCGGGCTGCTGGCCCCCGGCCGGAGGGGGAGGACTGGTGTCTGACACAGCAGCCTCCCTGTCCGTCCGTCCGTCCATCTGTCTGTCCCCCCGGCGACAAGCACAGCTGCTCCCGTTCCCGCCTCGGCACCTACTGCCGGGACATCGGGTAGAAATCGATGGCCCGGGCCCATGCTCGCCCAGGAGCCCATTCCTGGCGCTGCCGGGCTTCTCCGGGGGGTTCAGACAGAGTGTATCTCAGGAAAAGATTCCAGCGGAATCCAGTGCAGGCTTCTGCACGTCTCCCTTGTCACCACAGAGTCCGTCCCTGTGGAGCTGGAGTTCCAGCGTAACCTGAGCCCGGGCTCTCTTCGCTTGGTGCAGCGGTTTCTGCGGGACAAGCGAACGGGGTTTTATCCTCTAAGTTATTCATGCCATTCGCTCGGTGGCCCCAGAGGTGACCTTGGCCGGAGCGACAGTGTCGCGTGAGTGTAGGTGGAGACCAGGAAGAGGCATCTGGCCCTGCACACACACACACACACACACACACACACACACACACTCACGCACACCGTGTGCACTCGGACTGGAGGGGAGATAGATGGTGAGGCCCCAGCACACAAGCACAGGTCCCGGGAAGCCTGGCCCCGGGGACTTCTTCCTGGGAAGGGGCACGGATGGCAATTTTTTCTCTTCCAGAACAGACTAAGACACCGATAAACATTCATTACAGGGACACACACCCCTAAAGTTTTTTTGTGTGTGTGTTTTTTTTTTAAATTTAGGGAAAAATATAAAATGGTAGTCCTCAAATTAAGAACAAAAAAGTCAGCAAATAATGCTAATATTTTATTATATTGTCAGTTAGCGTCAAAAGAGATGAAAGATGGAGGAGGAAGGCCAGCCAGCTAACCCACCCCAGACCAGTCCCTCCCGACTGGTGAACCTGTACTCGGTCACTCTTTAACTTTTTTCCTTCTCTCTCTCTCTCCCTCTCTCTCTCTCTCTCTCTCTCCCTCTCTCTCTCTCCCTCTCTCTCCCTCCCCCCCCTCTCTTTTCCTTTGAACAGAATTGATAAGAAGATGTCGGGAGGCCAGAGCGGCTATGAGCTCAGCGAGGCCAAAGCCATTCTCACAGAGCTGAAGTCCATCAGGAAGGCGATCAGCTCGGGGGAGAAGGAGAAGCAGGACCTGATGCAGGTGTGTTAGGGGGCTCCTGGCCAAGTCCAACCACGTGCGGGGCCAGAAACTCCCCGGAGGCAGACTTCTCCGTCCGGGTCCGAGGGCCCTCCGTCACCCTTCCCTCGGCGGACCGGGCCCCAGCGCTGCCTGGAGGGAAGCCCCGCTCCCAGGGCCCCTGGCCTGCGAGTCAGTGAGTGGTGGGTCCCGGAGCCACCCACGCACGGAGATTAGCATCCGTGTGCGCCCGCCCTGCGGCTCACCGAAACTCCAGGCCGGGTTCCCTAAGCCCCTGGTCCTCGGCCCGGGACCTGGGGAGGGCATGGCTCCTGCCCTCACGAGGTAGACGGTCTGCCTTGAGGGGTGGGGATCTATGTGAGGACCTTGGAAAAGCTCCTCCACCAGGTGGTGATCCGAGTGGCGTGGGCAGTGCTGGCCTCGAAGGGGGTGTCTGGGTGGTCGGTCCCCTAGCAGGTCTGCTGGCCACAGGAGAGCCCCTCCCTACCCCTGGAACCTCAACATACAGCTCAGCTCCCAGTGACCCAGCCCTGTGTGTGGAAACAAAAAAACCCACCACCGGGCAGTGATCTGCAGTCTGCATTCCCAGTGTCTCCACTTAGCAGACAGCCAAGGTCTCCTCCCCTTCTCCATCCATGGCCATCACAGCACAGAGAGGTCTCTGTATATCAGACATCTCTGCCTCCGCCCTCCTCCATCCATGACAGCACAGCGCGGAGAAGTGTCTGTATTTCAGATAGTTGGAGCCTTCCCCCAGCCCAGTGAGGCTTTCGTCTATCTCGTAGGGAAAGTGTTAGAGCCAGTGGTGACGTTTGCATTCCCAATGGAACCTCTGAACTTACTACATTCAGCTACTTCGTGCCAGTTTTCAAAATGCTAGCTGAACGTAGGTAAACGTCCTTGAACCCATGTGATTTTGCATTTTGGCAGTTTTGAAGTGATTTGAGAGATCCAATAGGAAAGACAACAGTAATAATAACAAATTCCTGAAGTATTGGCTCTGCGCCAGGCAATCTCTGTGCACCTTGCTTAGAAATAACTCATTTAGTTATCACCGCACCCTGAAGATGGGCACTTTTGTCATCCCAGATTCGCAGACCAGGAAGTCACGGCACAGAAAAGTAGGATCTCAGGAAATCACACAGGCCTCCAGGTCTCACCCAGGGGTGTTACCACCATCATAACACAGACAGGACTTTATTTGGGTGCATTCTGCCTTCGCTTCACAGTGGTCCTGATGATTCAATCAATCATTTCTGAAATGCACGTAATACAGGTCACTTGAAAAAAAGTTAATGGAACTCGAACAAATGTATAGCAGTCAGCAATGCTAGGTCATCTTGGATTCTTCCTATAAACTTTGGGTTTATACACTAGCCAGATTAAATGGAAAGGAGATTCCCTTTTAATGTCTCCAGGATCCCGTATGTTGAAGAGCTGACGTGCTAAAGGCCGTCACGCCGTAACGACCCATCCGCAGGAGGCTGTGTGCGCAGCGAGGCTGCGAGGGTGGCCCCGAGGAGGCGGGGGCGGGAGACGGGCGCCTCCTCACAGCCCTGGGCGGCGAGGGGCCTCCTCGGGCGATTTCAGTCCGCCCTGGGGCCCTCTTATAAAACAATTAATCAGTAAACACAGAAACCAGCAGCAGAGCTGGAGTGGCATCGGGTATCTTCTGTGGCTTCCCAACCTCTTTGACCACAACGCACAGAAAGAAATATATTTAATGGCAAAGCCCACTCACACACAGACATCTTCCCCTGTGGATACACACGGAACAGATCTCACGGAACCGTGCCTGCACTCAGTGCCGGTCTTGCACTCACTTCCTGTCCTAGGCCCTTATTTCTTAAAAAAAAAACAAAAAAACAAAAAAAACAACTAGTCAGGACTAGACTGATCGAGTGCATGGTCGTCACAGGCAGGTTGGAAAATGCTGGTCTTTTCCTTGCACAGATGGAAAAACTGGAAAGACTTACCAGCTTCACTAAGCCATCCTCTGTGACATATTATTTGATGTGAGCATTTAAGGTTTATCCCTCTTGTGGACACATTCTGTATAAATATCCCTTTGAAAGGAAACGGAGAAAGTTAGGTTAAAATATATATGTGTGTGTGTGTGTGTGTGTGTGTGTGTGTGTATATATATATATATATATATATATATATATATGATTCTGATGGTTCTAATTTCTTATGAGGATTTTAAATACCAGGATCAAGTCTGTTCTTCGTGAAGTTGGTAGTTTCTCACCGTTTTCACTCGTGTTTGGGGAGTCTGTTTTGCGTTGGTGGCCGCTTAGCGTTGGTTTTTCCTTCTCCAGCCTGTTGCTGGCTCGCACCTCCCACTCAGGCTGGCCCGTCCGCCGCCCCCAGTGCTGACCGAGGCCGGTGCCCTGGACTCACTCTTCCACCAGGCGTGCCGCCTCAGCAGTGCCGCGCAGTCCGCACAGGGACCTCTGGGCCTCAGTTTCCCCCTCTCTGACTTATCCCCCGGGTCTGTCCAGGCGTACAGCGGCGCCACGCGAGATGCCGGCTACGTACGCCATTTCCTCACTGCGTCTCAAGCGAGATTGCATCGTAGGGATCCCGTGCTTCCCTCCTTTCGGCTGTGTGAAGTGTGCAGTTCTTATCAAAATAGAGGCTTCTCAGAATGGAATTCCAAAAATAAGAAACATACGAATTAACGATAAAGATACCATTATTCGCAGGGCCAAGAACTCCCGGAGTGTCCTGGGAAAGTTAAGATAGCTCATTTCATGTGTATGTGCAAAACTGTATTCTGCTCTTATTTTTTCAATAACGTAAAGTGCCCGGTGCCCACTAAAATGCAGCCGTTGTGTCTTCCATGAAGATCTGTTCTTTGCGTTCACTTCTGCCGTGAAGCGCTGTGCCCGTAGGCGCTGAGCTTACGGAGTCCTCTGTGTCTCCCCAACAGAGCCTGGCCAAGCTGCAGGAGCGGTTCCACCTGGACCAGAGCATCGGCAGGTCGGAGCCAGACCTGAGGGCCAGTCCCGCCAGCTCTCACCTCTCCCTCTCCAGGCAGACCCTGGATGCCGGGTCCCAGACCAGCATCTCCGGGGAGGTGAGCCGTGCCCGCCGGGGTGCCGCCCGCAGGTGGCAGTGCGTCCCCGAGGATGTCTGTTCTCTTCGGCGCCTGGGACAGTACAGCAGCTAGAGGGCAGTGAAGGGCCTGCCTGTCTGAGAAATGAGTGTCTGACGTCGTTTACTTCACGTCGTGTGCAGCCGGGAGCTAAGGAAGGAAACTGTGGCTCCGGGGCAAAGGGAGGAAATTAGCTCCAGCCCATAAGCTTTCCTGACCCGGGCGCCTTCATCGACGCTCGGGCACCAGAAGCCGTACCGGATACTTTTATTTTATTTTCTTTTTTTAATATATATCTTATTGATTTTTTACAGAGAGGAAGAGAGAGGGATAGAGAGTTAGAATCATCGATGAGAGAGAGTCATCGATCAGCTGCCTCTTGCACACCCCCTACTGGGGATATGCCCACAACCAAGGTACATGCCCTTGACCGAAATCGAACCCGGGACCTTTCAGTCCCCAAGCCGACGCTCTATCCATTGAGCCAAACCGGTTTCGGCCGTACCGGATACTTTTCACCTCCAGTTTGATGTGGGGAGAAACGACGTGAAGGTCTTTGAGAGACACACGCGTGAACCGAAAGGGCCGTGTTAGGGCGCAGAGGAAGGGGCGCTCAGAGCAGTGGGCACTGAGGATGGCGTGTAGCCTGACACGCCCAGCGGGACCCTCAGCTCTGCTCTTCCTTTCCCTCGGGACAAGGCGGGTGGGTGGGTGGGTGGGAGTGGGACTGATCGGCTCGGGGCTCCTGCCTGAGGCCCATGGGGCTGGGCACTCCCTGGCCCTGGGCGGGTGGTCAGAGCCACCTGGCAGAGGAGCGCCCACTGGAGACGGAGACCAGCAGAGCGCTCTAGGGAGCGTGAGCAGGGGGAGTGGCGGGGGAGGGGGGAGGTGCCAGAGGTCCGCTCCCAGCATCCGGCCCCACGCGGATCCCTCGTGGGCCGATGGGAACTGCAAATGGTTGTCCCAGCGGGGGCACCGGGGAGGGGGGCTGTGGGTTACCCTGCTGGGGTGGCCCGTGTAACCCCCCTGTCCTTGTCCTTTTGAAAAATAAATATAAATAATAAATTTTTAAAAATGAAACATAAAAAAGGGGGGGGGGGGCGGCGTTTGCCTCCCGGAGGCCGCAGGGCAGTGCCTTCCTCGGCCCCTCCGTGCGTCTCAGTGTCGGTCCCGGCCCCTGGCGCTCCCAGGACTGGGCCCCCAGAAGCAGAGCCAGGGACCTTCCTTCTTGAGCAGACTCATGGACTTCTCCCCTCTTGTTTTCCACCAGATCGGAGCGAGAAGCAGGTCGAATCTGGCCGAGAAGGTCAGGCTGAGTCTGCAGTACGAAGAAGCCAAAAGAAGGTGAGGCCGGGCGGGGCGCAGCCTGCTGGCCGGCGGCCGGCTCCCCAGCGTGCCAGCAGCGGCTCCCGGCTCACCGCCGCTCCTGCAGCGCCATCTGCTGGGCGCTCCCGCACGCTCACTTCCTCGCTCGCTCCCTGGTGTCTTAGAAGTCAGGGCTCAGAGCCCCTCTCTGCTCCCTGTTTCCCCTTTCCCTCCCTGGGAAGCCGAAGAACATGGAGGGGACTGTCCAGGGCCAGTTCCCGGAGGACGGGAGCTCTCCTCCCCTCCTTTCCCCCGCCGAGCCCGTCACACCCTGTCCTCCTCCCCGTGGCTGCGAGCGAGCGGAGGGACTCGCCGTTCTTGCCCAGCAGGCAGACAGCTGGTGTCCGCGATACAGGGCACCTGGGTACTCTGAGGGCGAGAGCCGAACTGAAACGTTCGGTGTGATTTTCCTTTAAGATTTTAATGCTGCTGCTGCTGTGCCGTGTAGGCAGACGGGGTGGGCTGCATCACCACCTGCTGAGCGCCCAGTCCGCGGCTGGGAGCCTGGGGGGGCACAGGAGGTGTACGGACGTGTAGGCACTGCCGCTGGTGGTGGCATTGATGAGCATTACCGGAGTTCTCAGAGGCTGCCTGACTTTAGCGAAGTGATCACTTGATCCGCCTACAGCCACTGTTTGCCTCTGCGCAGCCTCTGTTACCAACGTGACTCAGTTTCCCGGGAGCGTCCTCGGCTTTGCACCACAGATTACTAACCACGTGAGCTGGGCAGGCCACCTGGTCTCTCCCAACAACACTTCACCGACCAGTTTTAACGCCTGTGGCTTCGTGCCGGGCGGCGGCCGGCTTCCCGGGGCCGGGGAGCGTGCTGTGGGCTCACCGCCTGCTTTCCGGGCCGGTCCTGGGGCAGCTGGGGAGGGTGCAGGCCCCGGGCTGTGAGCGAGCAGGCCGGCAGCCGCCGGCACCGGTCTGCGGTGGTCTGAGCAGCCTCGAGGTCGGGAGGGCACCGGCCATCGAGGGGAAGGCTGTGCCCAGGGAAACGCGGGGTCGGGCGGAATGATGAAACGGCCGTTTCCCTTCGCTGCTTCCCCTCCTCCTCCTCGCTGCCCCCGCTCACACCGGCGATGCAGCCACAGGGCCGTGTGCCGGGAGAGCGGCTCCGTGCCCCCGCCACCTGGGGACGGTCTCCCCCGCGGGACGGATCTGTAACGCCGGCTCCGCAGCTTCACCGGGGCCTCCGGGGCCTCCCGCCTCCGGCCAGGGTCCAGGCCCCTGGGTGGCGCTCCGTGTGCTGGGACCTCACCTTTCCCCAGGGAGGGTGCGCTCACCGCGTCAGAGGAGGGGCGGGGACGCCGTGACAGCTAAGCAGAGCCAGGCCGGAGACTGGCCGGGCTCACCCCCCTCCCCTGGCGGGCTCAACCCCCTCCCCCCTCCCCCAGCGGGCTCACACCCCTCCCCCGGCGGGCTCACCCCCCCCCCCCCTCCCCCGGCGGGCTCACCCCCCTCCCCCCTCCCCCAGCGGGCTCACACCCCTCCCCCGGCGGGCTCACCCCCCTCCCCCCTCCCCCGGCGGGCTCACCCCCCTCCCCCTCCCCCGGCGGGCTCACCCACCTCCCCCTCCTCCCGGCGGGCTCACCCCCCTCCCCCTCCCACCCGGCGGGCTCACCCCCCAGCCTCCCCCCTCCCCCGCGGGCTCACACCCCTCCCCCCCTCCCCCCCGCGGGCCTCACCCCCCTCCCCCCCGGCGGGCTCACCCCCCTCCCCCAGCGGCTCACCCCCCTCCCCCCTCCCCCGCGGGCTCACCCCCCTCCCCTGGCGGGCTCAACCCCCTCCCCCCTCCCCCAGCGGGCTCACACCCCTCCCCCGGCGGGCTCACCCCCCTCCCCCCTCCCCCGGCGGGCTCACCCCCCCCCCCTCCCCCAGCGGGCTCACCCCCCTCCCCCAGCGGGCTCAACCCCCCCCCTCCCCCGGCGGGCTCACCCCCTCCCCCCTGCGGGCTCAACCCCCTCCCCCTCCCCCGGCGGGCTCACCCCCTCCCCCTCCCCTCGCCCTCCCCCCGGCGGGCTCACACACCCCTCCCCCCGGCGGGCTCACCCCCCTCCCTCCCCCCGGCGGGCTCACCCCCCTCCCTCCCCCGGCGGGCTCACACCCCTCCCCCCCCCCCCCGGCGGGCTCACCCCCCCCTTTCAGGGCTCACCCCCCATTTCAGGGCTCACCCCCGGCGAGGCTCACACCCCCCCTTTCGTGGCTCACCCCCCTCTAAGGGGCTCACCCTCCCCTTTCGGGGCTCACCCCCACTTCGGGGCTCACCCCCCCTTCAGGGCTCACCCCCGGCGAGGCTCACAGGGCCCGCGTCCGCCCGCCTCAGCCGTGCGGTTCCTCCTCCCGCTCCCGCTCCCGCTCACTGCCGCCTCCGTTGCAGCATGGCCAACCTGAAGATCGAGCTGTCGAAGCTGGACAGCGAGGCCTGGCCGGGGGCGCTGGACGTGGAGAAGGAGAAGCTGATGCTGCTCCACGAGAAGGAGGAGCTGCTGAAGGAGCTGCAGTTCGTCACCCCGCAGAAGCGCTCCCCGGACGAGCTGGAGCGCCTGGAGGCCGACCGGCAGCGCCTGGAGGCCGAGCTGCTGTCCGTGCGCAGCGCGCCCAGCCGGGCGCTGGCCGAGAGGTGGGTGTGGGCCGGGCGCCGGCCGGGAGGTGGCTGCTCCGGGCCGGGAGGTGGGTGTGGGCCGGGCGCTGGCCGAGAGGTGGGTGTGCGGGGCCGGGCGCCGGCCGGGAGGTGGGTGTGCGGGGCCGGGCGCCGGCCGGGAGGTGGGTGTGGGCCGGGCGCCGGCCGGGAGGTGGGTGTGGGCCGGGCGCCGGCCGGGAGGTGGGTGTGGGCCGGGCGCCGGCCGAGAGGTGGGTGTGCGGGACCGGGCGCTGGCTGAGAGGTGGGTGTGCCCATCCGGGCGCTGGCCGAGAGGTGGGTGTGGGCCGGGCGCCGGCCGGGAGGTGGCTGCTCCGGGCCGGGAGGTGGGTGTGCCGGGCCGGGAGGTGGGTGTGGGCCGGGCGCCGGCCGGGAGGTGGGTGTGCCTGGCCGGGAGGTGGGTGTGGGCCGGGCGCCGGCCGGGAGGTGGCTGCTCCGGGCCGGGAGGTGGGTGCGCCGGGCCGGGAGGTAGGTGTGCCGGGCCGGGCGCCGGCCGAGAGGTGGGTGTGGGCCGGGCGCTGGCCGGGAGGTGGGTGTGCCGGGCCGGGCGCCGGCCGGGAGGTGGGTGTGCCCAGCCGGGCACTGGCCGAGAGGTGGGTGTGCCCAGCCGGGCACTGGCCGGGAGGTGGGTTGTCCCAGCCGGGCACTGGCCGAGAGGTGGGTGTGCCCAGCCGGGCACTGGCCGAGAGGTGGGTGTGCCCAGCCGGGCACTGGCCGGGAGGTGGGTGTGCCCAGCCGGGCACTGGCCGGGAGGTGGGTGTGCCCAGCCGGGCACTGGCCGGGAGGTGGGTGTGCCCAGCCGGGCACTGGCCGGGAGGTGGGTGTGCCGGGCCGGGAGGTGGGTGTGCCCGGCCGGGAGGTGGGTGTGCCGGGCCGGGCGCCGGCTGGGAGGTGGGTGTGCCGGGCCGAGAGGTGGGTGTGCCGGGCCGGGAGGTGGGTGTGTCGGCCGGGAGGTGGGTGTGCCGGGCCGGGAGGTGGGTGTGCCGGGCCGGGAGGTGGGTGTGCCCGGCCGGGAGGTGGGTGTGCCCAGCCGGGCACTGGCCGAGAGGTGGGTGTGGGCCGGGAGGTGGGTGTGCCGGGCCGGGAAGTGGGTGTGCCGGGCCGGGCGCCGGCCGGGAGGTGGGTGTGCCGGGCCGGGAGGTGGGTGTGGGCCGGGCCGGGAGGTGGGTGCGCCGGGCCGGGAGGTGGGTGCGCCGGGCCGGGCGCCAGCCGGGAGGTGGGTGTGGGCTGGGCGCCGGCTGGGAGGTGGGTGTGGGCTGGGCGCCGGCCGGGAGGTGGGTGTGCCGGGCCGGGCGCTGGCCGAGAGGTGGGTGTGGGCCGGGCGCCGGCTGGGAGGTGGGTGTGGGCTGGGCGCCGGCCGGGAGGTGGGTGTGCCGGGCCGGGCGCCAGCCGGGAGGTGGGTGTGGGCTGGGCGCCGGCCGGGAGGTGGGTGTGCCGGGCCGGGAGGTGGGTGCGCCGGGCCGGGAGGTGGGTGCGCCGGGCCGGGCGCCGGCCGGGAGGTGGGTGTGCCGGGCCGGGCCAGGGAACCTGGGGGTGCGCCCCAACCGTGGGGGGCCAGGCCCTGGTCTGGGTGCTCTTGCTCCGGTGCACTGTGCTCAGGGCTCTTCCTGTCCAGCCATCACGCACCCATCCCGCTGTCCCGGGGGAGAGGAGCAGGCCGTTGGTTTGTTTGCTGTCATCAGCTTCCTATCGGCTGGCGCTTAAAGATCGCTGATGAAGTGGCACTCAATATTTACTTTGTTCTCACTGCTTAGACGTTGGCCGTTAAGCTCTGGTTCGCTCGTGTATGATAACGGTCAGGACTCAGTGACCCGTGCCCTCCGTCCAGCACTGTCCCGCCAGGCCTCTGACTCCCTGGCTCCGGGCATTGGCGGCTGAGCTCGCCCCCTGGTGGCGGCAAAGCATATCGGGAAGAGGCCCGCTCCGGGAGGCACCCTCTGCAGAGAGAAGGGTGGGACTTTCCGATTCTTTCCGCACGGTTACCGAGACGCCTTAAACTCCTGCTTGTCCGCAACTGGCCAGGTCTTCACGTTGCTCCCCACTTTCTCACAAGTCTCGGAGGCTGTATCTCACTTCCTGCCGATGTTCTCGCTATTTCTTCATTAAAGCCACGCACCGCGTACGGACATTCTCGTCCGTGACGGGCCGCATACACAGCGGTGGTCTCAGAGTTTACTGGACCTGAAAGGCTCCTGCAGCTGGCGATGCCACAGCCGTCAGAGGGCCGTGCGGAGGCACAGGGTAACCCGCCCACGGCGCCGGCAGCCGCGTGAGCAGGGCTCCGCAGTTATGCACCGCGTGGGATAGCCGATGGCGGCGCTGGCTGTCTGTGGCCGCTGCGTGTTTACCGCACTGTACTTTGCATCCTCACATCTGCGTGTGCTCTAGAAAGAGCGCTTGGAGAGAGTTTGCTGGCAGGCTCGGCGGGACAGATGAGAAGGCCGAGGCCTGGTGCGCAGCCAGCACGGCACGCCCGAGCCCGGAGCCCGTGCTCCCGGTCCCCGGCCACGGCTCATTCCCATGGCGTCTGAGGACACAGACAGCCCCGTGCAGGCTCCCAGAGGCCTAAACCCCACCGCAAACTTCTCTCGTCATGTTGCGTGCACTCTAGAGAGAGGACTTCTTAAAGGTCCGCTGTTAAAAACCACCGTTTTTTAGAGCACTTGGAGAAAGAGCACTGAAAAACAACAGCCGGCGTGCATGTTCCGCCACCGGAGCCTCCACATCTCTGCCCCCGGTCTCCACCACGGCGTGTTCGCTCGTGCCGGTGATTCCCGTGTTCCGCACCGCGGCGTGCTGCGCGGGCCGTGCCCCGCACCCCGGCTGTGCCGTGTGGCCCCGCGCCCCGGCTGCACCGTGTGGCCCCCGCGCCCGGCTGCACCGTGTGGCCTAGGCGGGCTGTGCCCCGCGCCCCGGCTGCACCGTGTGGCCTAGGCGTGCTGTGCCCCGCGCCCCGGCTGCGCCGTGTGTCCTAGGCGGGCTGTGCCCCGCGCCCCGGCTGCACCGTGTGGCCCCGCGCCCCGGCTGCACCATGTGGCCCCGCGCCCCTGCTGCACCGTGTGGCCTAGGCGTGCTGTGCGGGCTGTGCCCCGCGCCCCGGCTGCACCGTGTGGCCTAGGCGGGCTGTGCCCCGCGCCCCGGCTGCACCGTGTGGCCTAGGCGTGCTGTGCGGGCTGTGCCCCGCGCCCCGGCTGCGCCGTGTGGCCTAGGCGGGCTGTGCCCCGCGCCCCGGCTGCACTGTGTGGCCTAGGCGTGCTGTGCGGGCTGTGCCCCGCGCCCCGGCTGCACCACGTGGCCTAGGCGTGCTGCGTGGGCTGTGCCCCGCGCCCCGGCTGCGCCGTGTGGCCTAGGCGGGCTGTGCCCCGCGCCCCGGCTGCGCCGTGTGGCCTAGGCATGCTGTGCGGGCTGTGCCCCGCGCCCCGGCTGCACCGTGTGGCCCCGTGCCCCGGCTGCGCCGTGTGACCCCGTGCCCCGGCTGCGCCGTGTGGCCCCGTGCCCCGGCTGCGCCGTGTGGCCCCGTGCCCCGGCTGCGCCGTGTGGCCCCGTGCCCCGGCTGCACCGTGTGGCCCCGTGCCCCGGCTGCGCCGTGTGGCCTAGGCGTGCTGTGCGGGCTGTGGCCCCGCAGCCCGGCTGCACGGTGTGTCCTAGGTGTGGAGCAGCTGCCACCGGACTTGCAGGCCTGTGCTTGGCAGTGTTTGCAAGGCCCTGAATGACAGCATCTCAGGACGTGTCCGCACCCCTGGCGCGTCATTGTGTAATATTTTTGCCACTGATCCTGAGAGAGATTTTAAAGTAAGTGGGTGGGGTATGAGTGTCCTTTATGTTTTAACGTAAATGGACTTACTGACTCAGTAGGTGACCTGAAAATGGGCCTACACAGAACTTTCTGGATGGCCCGAATCAGGAGGGGCTGGCAGCAGGAGCGGGACCTACCCCATCTGGCTGAGGGCAGCCGCACCGGTGGGAGGAATGTTGGGGACAAGCTGAGATCTGTCCCCCAGGAGGACGAGAGACAGGGCGGAGGAGGGCATGGAGACAGGCGTGCGCCCGCTAGAGGGGCGATGTCTGAGCGGGTCTGGCTCCCGGCGCAGAGGGGCGGGGGGTCGCTTCCTGTGCAGGAACCGGCATCAGAGACGCAGAGCGCCCACCTGAGGAAGGTGCAGGTTAGACCCCACCAAGGGGGGTGCTGCCCGAGAGTGACACCGGCCTCCGGGAGCGGACTGATGGGCCCACGGGAACAAGAGCACAGAGAGGGCTCCGCAGCCAAGTGCCCCCGCCGAGGCCCAGGGCCGTACCTGAGCCATGGCCAGCAGAGGGGTTGCCTGTGACTGGGCTGGGGTCCTACATTTTATTGCTTATTTATTTATAATATACTTTTAGTGATTTCAGAGAGGAAGGGAGAGGGAGAGAGAAACATCGATGAAGAGAGAGAATCATTGGTCAGCTGCCTCCTGCACGCCCCACTCTGGGGATCGAGCCCGCAACCCGCATGTGCCCTGACCAGGAATTGAACCCGTGACCTCCTGGTTCGTTGGTCGATGCTCAACCACTGAGCCACACCAGCCAGGCGGATTTTATGTTGTAGCGTGAAGCACGCTACCACGCCAGGGGAGCCTTCGTTCTGTGCGCTGCTGAGATTGAAGGCGTAACCGGGAAGCGCCGCTGCTGCTGCTGCTGCCTCAGACGCGGCTCCGAGGAGGCCCGGCCTTCGCCAGACCTCCTTCCTCTCATCTGCTTTGCGTTAATGTTCTTCCTTGTTGGGTTCTGATGTATGTCTAAGAGATTCAGAAAGCACGGACTGTGCTCCTTTTCAAAACCCACCTTCGAACGCCGTGCATTAAGGACTTACCACCCTTTGAAGTCCTAAACAAAATGACAAGAATTCGTGTTTTTTTTTTATTTTAACATATAATGGAATTGTGTTGGTGGCACATCAAAGGAAAAATGCCTATAAATAAAACATGGGCATGTTTTCTCACTGCATGAAACATACACGATTTCAAAGGAGCTGGAACTGAGGGACATTTCTCCCACGGGAGGCGGTCGTGTTTACGTCGCCACCTTGCCAGCCGAGGCTCTGAGCGGGCCGGTCTGCCTCCCACACACTCTGCCCATGTGGCCGCCCCCACGGCCTCCCAGGCAGGCTCGGGGCACTGTGCCCCCATTGCACAGATGGGAAGGCTGAGGCCTGGGCGGGGCGCTCCCGAGGGCGCACAGCCAGCTCGGCACCAGCCTGGGCCCTGATGCTGCTGGCCCCTGCTGCAGGCCGGGCACCCTCTGAGGGCCTAGGGGACAGGCGGCCTCGCACAGCCCCAGCTGTGTGAGCCCGGGAGCCCTCCGCGTGTGGTCAGTGTTTGTCCGCGGACACCGGGCCGTGGCTAATTCCCACCAGCCTCCGGGGCCACTGAAGCCGAGCACGGAGCTCCGTGACGGCCTGGTGAGGGCGATGGGCGGGCTGCGGACGGAGGGAACGTTGTACTCACATCTCTCTGGCGTGAACATGTGGGCTGATGGGTTCCTTCACCGCCAGCGTTCTCGTCACGTTAAGATCGGCATTGTGGGCACAGTCCCTGCGAGTTCAGTGCCCAGCCATCTCCTGTGACTATTTCTGCCGTCACACTGCTTCAGGCACGTGAGCCCAGCATGGCCTGCGGGGCCTGTGACCTGGGTTAGTGTCTGTTTTCCTTCTCCCTCTCCTCCTGTAATTCATATGAGCATGAGGTTTTCCCCGCTGAAGAAAACTGTAGAACCCTGAGTGGTTTGGCTCAGTGTTTAGAGCATGGGCCTGTGGACTCAAGGGTCCCAGGTTCGATTCCGGTCGAGGGCATGTACCTTGGTTGCGGGCACATCCCCATTAGGGGGAGTGCAAGAGGCAGCTGGTCGATGTTTCTCTCTCATTGATGTTTCTAGCTCTCTATCTCTCTCTCTTCCTCCCTGTAAAAAACAAAACAAAACAAAACAAAACCCACAATAAAATATATAAATAAATAAGTACATAAAATACTTTCCCCCATTCTATGGGTTATCTTTAAAAGAAGGAAGGAGGGAGGGAGGGAGGGAGGGAGGGAGGGAGGGAGGGAGGAAGGAAGGAAGGAGGAAGGAAGGAAGGAAGGAAGGAAGGAAAAACTAGCGAACCAGGCTCACAGCATCCTCAGGTGTGCTGACGAGGCGGGGCCGTGGGCGCTCTGCCCACTTGGCTTCCTGCCAGGGCTGCTCCCTCTCCATCAAGTTCACTGCCCCCCCCCCCCCCCCCCCCCATGGCACGTAACGCCTGTATGATGATAACCTTCCCTCGGTCTCCATGGTCTGTCATCGTCGTTTGAAAGTCAACATTCCTTCCTGTGGTTTTTTCTAGATTGAAACTGGAGGAGCGCAGGAAGGAGCTGCTCCAGAAGCTCGAAGAAACGACCAAACTGACCACTTACCTGCACTCAGAGCTGAAAAGGCAAGTCTCCTGGCCTCCGGGGGCCGTCTCCTCCCGGCTCCGCTCAGGAGCGCCTCTGTCCGCCTCTGATTACTGTTCTCCTACTGCTCGGCCCTTTAGAAGGAAGGAACGGAAGTCATGCTAGCCCCGCCGTCGGCAAGCTGTGGCTCGCGAGCCACAGGCGGCTCTTGGGCCCCTTGAGTGTGGCTCTTCCACAAAACACCACGGCCTGGGCGAGTCTATGTTGAAGAAGTGGCGTTAGAAGATTGAGTTTAAAAAACTTGGTCCTCAAAAGAAATGTCAATCGTTGTGCTGTTTACGTTTGGCTCTGTGGACCCATGAGTTTGCCGACCGCTGGGCTAGTCCAATGGCCGAGCTGAAGGTCGCACAGGCTTCCCTTTCCTGAGCCTTTGAAACACATTAGGGACGTGGAGTGGGAAGCAGGCGCATTGGCCTCAGCACACACATAGGGCAATGCCGTCTTTTCTCCACGTGAGCCCTTCTTTTAAGAGGACATAGTCACTATTTAATACACACGAGGGAGGAGGGAAGGTGGGTGAGCCCAATTCTGTGAGCTCCGTCTCCCTCACCCGCCTCGTCTCTCAGAAAGCATCATTTTCCGCAGAGTGACAGCACTCGCACTGTGCACCGTTCACCCGCCTGTGTGTAAACCACAGCCTCTCTGGGTACCTGTGCAGGTGGATTACCAACAGGGTTTTGAACCCCGCTGTTGTGCCTGCTGCGGAAGGGGGATGGTTTGAATCAGAGTAGGGTTATTGCTTAAAGAGTAGCAGAGAGCCAGGTGGATGTGTTCATGAAGAATCCCATCATGGGCCCTAAGCGGTGTGGCTCAGTGGATAGAGCATTGGCCTGCAGACTCAAGTGTCCCAGGTTCAATTCCGGTCAAGGGCATGTACCTTGGTTGCAGGCACATCCCCAGTGTGGGGTGTGCAGGAGGCAGCTGATCGATGTTTCTAACTCTCTATCCCTCTCCCTTCCTCTCTGTAAAAAAAATCAATGAAATATATATATATATATATTTTTTTAATAAAAGAATCCCTTCGCGGGAAGTTCTGTCCCCCCGGCCTGGAGCGCCCGTTCTGACAGTCTGCGCCTCTCCCCCCGCAGCCTCTCCGCCAGCACCCTGTCCATGTCCTCCGGGAGCAGCCTGGGCTCGCTGGCCTCCAGCAGGGGCTCGCTCAGCTCGCTCAGCTCCGGCGAGCTCTACTACGGCAGCCCTGGCGAGCCGCTGGACGCGGACTACCAGCACAGGCTGGACTTCCTGCTGCAGGAGAAGGGCGGCTACGCGCCCGCCGGGCCCATCACCACCATCCACGAGAACGAAGTGGCCAAGTCGCCCGGCCAGGGCGGCCCCGGCGGGCCGGCCGCCCCGGGCCCCGCGCCCCCGCCGGCCGAGGCCCCCAAGTCCGTGACGTCCCTGTCCTCCCGGTCCTCGCTGTCCTCCCTGTCGCCGCCCGGCTCCCCGCTGGTGCTGGACGGCGCGTTCCCCGCGTCGCCCCATGACGCCCCCCTGCACCGCTTCGCCGCCGACTTCGAGGACGGAGAGCTGAGCGGCCGCCTGGCGGACATGGGCCTGGGCGACGGCCCGGCGCTGCTGGAGGCCGAGGCGGGCGCGGGCGCGGGCGCGGGCACGGGGGAGGACAGGGACCCGCGGGAAGGCGCCCGGGAGCCGTTCGACGAGGCCGCCGCAGGTACGGGGGCGTCGCCGGCCGGAGGGGAACGGCGGGAGGGCTGTGTCCCCCTTAGACCGGGGCGGTCCCCCCTCTTCCCGCTGCTCTCTGTTTCGCTTCGTCCGCGGAGCGTTAGGTGAGATCCCTAGACACTTCTCTGCATCGCACAAGCATCGCCTTCCCTGGCGGTGACCTCTCGCCGGCTTCTGTCCTGCCGCCGGACACCCTGTGTGTGGCCGTGACCTGCCCGTGTGTGTGCACCCGGGACACGTGGGGCGGCTTCCGGTTCTGGAAGAACACGGCCGAGAAAGGGCTCTCTGTCCAGGCGGGCCTGAGGCCGGAGCCAGGCCGTCAGCACTCGGCTCCCCGGTGCCAGGGGCTCTGCACAAACACGGTGCTGTTTCCGGCCAGACGCTCCACAGACACGCTGCCCGCCGCCCGGGAGGGCAGCCGCAGGGCCGGGGCCACCTGCCGGCCTGCGAGCTCCTTGCAGCCCGGGGTGGGGGTGGGGGGCGGGGGACACAGCAGCTCTTCCTCCGCATCCGCTCCCAGACCGGAGGGGAGATTTCCCTCAGGGCGCCCCTCGGCGGAGCGGACGTGGCCGCAGAGAGGACAGGCGGTGCCGTTGGTGCCGTCCACCCTGTCCGCACCTGCACGCGGGACCGTGTCTGCGACAGGCGGGAGCACGGCTCCTCGCGAGCATTTTCCTGCGTTTTGAGGAGCATATTTAATTGGTGTTCGTGGTCCTAGGAGTCGAATAAGTGTCCCTGGGTTAAGTGTCTAATAAGTGTGCAGATGTTTAAAGAGAGAGAAGAATCCGTCTTGTTGGCGTGGTTTCAGTCCCTGAAGATGAGACCCCACCTGCCCGGGGCCTGGGGTGGGGCAAAGGCGGGCTCAGCAGGCTCTGTGGCTCGTGTGCTGCTGCCTGGCTCCGGGCGCAGGAAAGCCACTTCCCCATCAGACAGGGGGGAGCCGGCCCGGGAGCCGGCCTGGGGCGTGTAAGTCTGGAGCCTCGGTCCCCACCGTGGGCTGGAGTGGTGACCTCCTCCTCCTCCGGCGGGGATTGCGGTTCCGAGCTCAGACCCGCACCGTGTGTGTGTGTGTGTGTGTTTCATACCCAACGCGTCCTGATAAGAAACTCACGCGTGCGCCCCCCCAGACGCGGAAAAGCCGCCCCCGAAGAGGAGGGGCGCGCACCTGCTCGGGGAGAGGACGGCGTGCGTGTCGGCGGCCGTGTCGGACGAGTCGGTGGCGGGAGACAGTGGCGTCTACGAAGCCTTCGTGAAACAGTGAGGCTCCCGTGCATGGGGCCCCCATCACCCTTTCCCCCAGCCCGCGTGTGGATCTGGGCCAAGGTGTCCCACCACCATCAGCACTGAGGAACCATGTGCCTGGGCATGTGCCTGGTCACTCTGTGTCCAAGATGGTCTGCAGCCAGGGACAGACACGCATGTCAGCCAGGGAGGGGCAGCGTGTCACGGGGAGGGGCAGCATGTCACAGGGAAAGACACACATGTCACAGGGAAAGACACACATGTCAGCTAGGGAGGGGCAGCGTGTCAGGCAGGGATAGACATGCATGTCATGGGACAGACACACATGTTACATGGACAGACACACATGTCAGCCAGGGAGGGGCAGCATGTCAGCCAGGGACAGACATGCATGTCACAGGGACAGACACACATGTCAGCCAGGGAGGGGCAGCATGTCAGCCAGGGACAGACATGCATGTCACAGGGACAGGCACACGTGTCACAGGGGCAGACACATGTCACAGGGACAGACACACATGTCAGCCAGGGAGGGGCAGCATGTCAGCCAGGGGTAGACACACATGTCACAGGGACAGACACATGTCACAGGGACAGACACGCATGTCAGCCAGGGAGGAACATGTCACAGGGGGCGAGCAGGGCTGTCCTTCCTCAGACAGCTTCCTGAGCCCTCGCTGACGTGGGTGAGAATGCTGCAGGGCTGGCGCCTGCGTGGCATCAGCTCCCGAGGAGGTGTCGGGGGCAGTAGACCCCAGGGAGGCACCAGGGAGCCGCTCCCTTAAGGGGTGGGAGACAGACCCCCCTGACAAGGTGAGGGAGAGCTGAGTGAGCCCGGGTCAGCGGGCGGGGCGTGCGGGAATCGGGGCTCTCCCTCAGGCGGTCAGTGGCCGATGGGGCCTCACCACCGAGCTCCTGTACTGAGCCCTGTCTCCGGCTCCAGGCCCAGTGACATGGGAGACATTGCCTACGGTGAAGAGGATGCTGGCGTCGTCATGGAGACGGCGCAGGTGCAGATCGGGCTCAGGTAAAGGCTGTGCTGGGCGGGGGCGGGGTAGCATTCAGTGGGGGCCCGCCGGCCTGGGCTCCCCCTCACCAGCTTCTCTGTCCGCAGATACGACGGGAAAAGGGCCAGCTTCATGGTGAGGATCGCTCAGCTCCGGAATCTGCACGCCTTCCCGATACCTCATTCTTCCAAAGTGTAAGTAAGACCGGCGAAGAGCGAAAGGCGGCCGTCCACCCCCGCCGGCGGCGTTCGCACGGTCACCCAGGTCCCTCCGGGGAGCCGGGCCGGGACCTGCCAGAGGGGGAGAACGCGGACAGGCCCCGAGTCGTCGCTCTCTGGTGTCCGCAGGTACTTCAGGGTCGCCCTGCTGCCCTCCTCCGCGGACGTCAGCTGTCTGTTCCGGACGAAGGTGCGCGCGGCCGCGGAGCCCCTGGTGTTCGGCGACGTGTTCCGCGTGGCCATCGCGCAGGCGGCCCTGCAGCAGAAGACGCTGCGGGTGGACCTGTGCTGCGCCCGCGCGCACCGCTCCGAGGAGTGCCTGGTGGGTGCCCGCTCCCCGCCCCCTCGCCCGGCGCGGCGTGTTTCTGTGGCTGTGGGCCAGCCCCGGTGCCACCACCGACCGGGGCTGTCGCAGTTTCCGTGTGAAGGATGGTCTCAGGTTTCCGTTCTCTTATTCCACACCTGTGGCCTCTGCCTCTGCGTGGTGACTCTGTGCAGGCTGCTTTCCCTCTTCACCCTTTGACCTCTGTCTGTCTGTCACCTTGGAGCAGGCGTCTTCAAACTACGGCCCGCGGGCCACATGCGGCCCGCAGAGGAGTCTGATCCGGCCCGCCAGGTTTTTTGGGCAGTGAGCGCAGCCGAGGTGTTACAGTAGGAATTAGTAGTTCATATAGTCCGGCCCTCCAGCTCTCTGAGGGACCGTGATCTGGCCCCCACTTTAAAAAGTTTGAGGACCCCTGCCTTGGAGCATGTTTGCTCAGTACGAGTCTTGTGCTGGGTGCTCTGTGCGTAACATCTCATGAAATCCTCATCACTTTTATAAAAAAGGTATGGTTGCCCCAATTTGCCTAATAAAAGAGTAACATGCTATTGACCATATCGTCACAACGCCCACCAGCCAATCAGGAGTGCGTATGCAAATTAACCTGACGAAGAAGGTGGGTTAATTTGCATACACAGGCGCTGAGCAGCCTGGGATGGGGCGGGACACAGGCAGTCCACGCCACCCCAGCTGCCCCGGGCCTCTGGGCAGCAGGGGAAGGCAGACAGGCGGCTCTGGCTCTGGGCTGGAACAGAAAGGCAGCTCTGGCCGGAGCGAAGGCGGTGCCGGCAGCCAGGGGAAGGAAGGCTCATTCTTGCACAAATCTTCAATTCGTGCATCGGGCCACTAGTTTTCAATAAAGAACTGCAGAGAGGGGTAATGTACAGCCACCACTTAACCCCACACTAATTCACTGTCGCAGACTTAAATTGAGCGAGACACTGAGTGAAGCGTCCCTGTGTTGGGCTCACCCTCCAGGCCTGGTAGGGGAGCATGGAGGAAGATAGGCGCGCCGTTAGGGCAATGTGATATTTAAACGCTAAAGTGGGAGACTGCGTGCAGCTGACGGCGACTTTAACGCTCCGTGTGCGTCACGCCAGAAAGCCCTTCCACACCCGTGAAACGCGGTGCCCAAATGGGCCAGATGAACGGAGGGTCTCACCGAGCCCTTCTCCGCAGGACGCATGGAGGTGGAGTGAAAGATCTCTGGTTAATATTTTGTCTGTCTGTAAAATACCCGGTATTGTCTGGCAGTGAAGACAGTTAGAAAGAAGCAAAGATGCCCTGGCTGACGTGGCTCCCACAGACTGAAGGATCCAGGGTTCGATTCCGGTCAAGGGCACATACCTCGGTTGCAGGCGCCATCCCAGTCCTGGTCGGGGTGTGTTCAGGAGGCATCCTATCCATGTGCCTCTCTCACATCCATGTTTCTTTCTCTCTGTCTGTCCCTCTTACTCTCTAAAAATTCAATGAAAAAATATCCTCGGGTGAGGATTAACAAAATCTTTTAAAAAAGCAAGAAGCAAAGATAAACTATTAATATGATTTGGTAAAATATAAAAGCTTTCAACCCCTTTTTTTTTACATTCTACTAATTTAGTTAAGAATCTTTCTAATTTCTCATTTAAGAATCACAATGGAGTTTTTGTTATTTTTTACATTTTTAGTAGATAATGGAATTTTGTAAATAATAATCAGATCGCTCATCACGACGTAAGATGTATTATGGTTTATACGCAGCCATTTGTATTTGTATTTTTAAACTTTTTTAAAAATAACAATTTCACACTTATAAAATGTTGCATGCTTAGTCATTAGGTTGTGGCAAAACAGTATCTCACAAACCAATCCCAGAATTGGCTTTTACTTTTTTGTTATTTTATAAAAATATTTTTTAATTGATATCAGAGAGGAAGGGAGGGAGAGAGAGAGATAGAAACATTCCTGATGAGAGTCAGTCATTGATCGGCTGCCTTCTGCACGTCCTACACAGGGGATCACGCTACAGCCCAGGCCTGTGCCCTGAGAGAGAATCAAACCAGTGACTGACTGATAGGTTGACGTTCAACCACTGAGCCACACCGGCTGGGCCGGAGTTGGCTTTTAGATTGGGATAATGTCTTACTCAGTCACACCTGGAAACGTAAGACATCTTCAGGTTTTTTTAAAAAATGTGATGATTTATATCACGAATATTGCTTTTTTTGTTTGTTTGTTTAATCCTAAAACAAGCTTGCCCCATAATCTGTTATATCAGGAGCAAATATGGATTTAAACACGTTCTCTCCTCTCTTTCCTCTCGCTCCCACAGGCCGGGACTCAGATCAGTCTGGCCGATTTGCCGTTTTCCAGTGAGGTCTTCACCCTGTGGTATAACCTGCTCCCTTCTAAGCAAATGCCTTCCAAAGCGAACGAGGAAGAACACGAGGATCCGGTGTTCCAGCCGAGCCAGCCATCGGTGGAGCCCATAGACCTGGTGAGTCGAAATGAGAGAAGAAAGTCATCGCGGTTTACTAAGCCAGCACGAATAGCAGGCTGTGCTGCCAGCGTGCTCCGTCCCTCCCGCCTCCCGGGAGCAGGAAAGGTGGTCCCCAGCTCCCCACGCTGATAGAGAACAACTCGTTTCTGCTCACCCGTCCTCCCTTAGCCGCCACCTGCGGGGAGGCGCGTGGCGTTGGGGGACATGGGCAGCCTTTTGGTTTCAGTTTATATTTTTACACGTGGTGTTCACTATCAGGCTATCCATTTTTTTTTTTGCAAAGGCTAACACATAAGCTTAGTTTCCGTGTGTAACATCGAGCTCCACAAACACTTTCTATTACAAAGTGCGCTGTCAGCCATTGTCCTGCTTCCCCACTGCACCTGTGCAGCCCCCGCCCCCGACGTGGCACCTGTGGCTGCTGCTGCTGAGTCAGGTTTGTGTGAGACGGTCCGCCAGGGAGGACCTCGCTCAGCGTGAGGTCAGTTGGTCATGTGCGCAGAACTGGGCACCGGTGGGCAGCGGGCGGAGGGAGACACGTGTGGGAGAGCCCACGTGACACGCCGGCCTCGTGGTCGACACGCCGGCTTCAGAGTGCTCCCAGCATGTCCCCGAGCGCAAGCTTTTTAATGAGCTTCACGCCGTGTGAGTCACCTACCACACAGCCCACGCCCTTACAGTGTGCGGTTCCCTGTCGGGGCCACATAGGCTAGTCGTTCTTAGTTGATTCACAGCCTCGTGCAACCCTCACCACGTCTAACATTAGAGGAAGCCGCAGTCACTCCCAGTCCTCACCCTCGCACCCAAGACAAGCATTCATCTTCCTTCCGTCTCCATAGATTAGTTATTGTGGACACTCGGGATAAATGGAGTAGTTTATAGCGTTTATTCGGATCCCTTGTTTGCTTTTTAAATGGGTATTTCATCATTTTATTGCTGAGTTATGAGCGTTCCTCACATATTCTTGATAGAAGTCTCTTATCCAGTAAAGGATTTGCACATTTTTTCTCTCATGCTGTGGGTTTTCGTTTCATTTTCTTGATGGTTTTGTTTGCAGTAAGGTTTTCAATTGTGATAAAAATCAAATTGTGTATAGTTTTTTTTTCTTTTATTACATATGCTGTTGATGTCATACTCAAGAAGGCTTTGCCAAACTTAACATCACAAAGATTTACTCCTGTGTTTTCTTCTGAGAGTTTTAAAGTTTAGTTTTATTTTTAGACCTCTGATGCATTTGTTTTCTTATGTGTAATGTAATGAATGGGTCCAAGTTCAGTCTTTTTGTATGTGGGCATGCAATTGTCCTAACACAAAAAAAACACTCTTTCTCCCATTGAGTTATCTTGCCCAAAATCAGTTGAACATAAATGTGAGTATTTAAATTTCTGGACTCTCAATTCTGTTTCACTCACCTACCTACACATCTGTACTTAGGCCAGCACCACACTGCTTTGATGACTATAGTTTATTTAGTAATTATTTTGAAATCAGAAAGTATGAGTCATTAAACTTGGTTTTCCTTTTTCAAGATGGTTTGGGATGTTCAGGGTCCCTTGCATTTCCATATGAATTTTATCACTAGTTTATCAATTTATACACACACACACACACACACACACACACACAAAGATAGGGTTTTGATTGAGACTACACTGAGTCAGTAGTCATTTGAGGACTTTGTTGCCTTAACAGTGTTCATCTTGCCGAAACTGGATTGACTCAGTGGGTAGAGCGTCGGTCTGTGGACTGAAAGGTCCCAGGTTCGATTCCGGTCAAGGGCATGTACCTTGGTTGCGGGCACATCCCCAGTAGTGGGTGTGCAAGAGGCAGCTGATGGATAAATCTCCCTCATCGATGTTTTTAACTCTCTATTCCTCTCTCTTCCTCTCTGTAAAAAGTCAATAAAATATATATTTTAAAAAAACAACAAAAAAAAACACCAGTGTTCATCTTCTGAAACATGAGTGCAGGATGTCTTCCCATTACTTAGGTCTTCCTTAATCTCTTCCAACACAGTTTTGTATTTGTCCGAGACCCAGTTTATGCTTCTTTTGTTGATTTTGTTCTTTTTTTGACGCTCTTGTAAATAGAACTGTTTTCTTAATTACATATTCAGAATATTCATTGCGTAATTAGTTTTTGTCTATTTATCTTGTATCCTTCAATCTTGCTGAACTCACTTATTAGTGCTAATAGTGTTTTGTAGTGGATTCCCTAGGATTTTCTACGTATAAGATTATATCTTCTGAAAACAGCGTTAGCTACTTCTCCCTTCCCAGCCGCAGTGTGTTTCTGATTCTCGCCCCGTCTCCCTGGCTGGAGCCCCAAGCGCAGTGTTGGGAGATGTGGGGAGAGCAGGCCTCCTTGTCCCGTGCCTGCCCTTCTCGGGAAGTTTCTGTCTCTTGCCGCCACGTGTGATTTTTCGGTGGGTTTTGTGGGTGCCCTTCCTCGGACTGAGGAAGCCCTCCTCCTGGTGTGCGGAGTGTCTCCTCCTTACAGGCCATTGGATTGGACAGGAGCTTTTCAGCACTTACTGAGATGATCGCAGGGGTTTCTGTCCTGCACGCTCTTCGTATGGCTTATTAACTTTCAGATATTAAGCCAATCTTGCATCCCCACTTGGTCATGGGGTATAATCCTCTTTATATGTTATTAAATTTAGGGTGTGTGTTTTTCGAAGCACTTTTACTCCAATGTGCGAATATGATTTGTGTGTGTGTGTGTGTTTATTCTAGTGGAATTCTCCATCATTTCCTCTGCTTTCTTAAACACATTAATGTAAAGCTACAAACTTCCGCTCTGAGTCACTCAGTGTGAGGGTCACCGGTGAGTCTGCCTCTGTTGCCTGTTGTTTCTCTCGGCTCCGGTGGCGGGTCTGCGGTCAGTGATGCCGGGTGTCACGTGTGAACGTGCAGAGGCTCTGGTGCGGGCCTCCCCCACAGAGGGGGTCTCTTCTCCTGGAAGCAGCTCACACGGGGGGCCGGGATCCCCGTGTCCCTCTCCCCAGGATGGCGAGATGCCTGCCATGCCTCCAGCAGCTGGGTGCTGCTGTGTGTCTCAGCGCCTTGCTTGCCCGTTGGCAGGTGCCCCTGTGGGAACTGCAGGAACTGCGCTTACCTTAGAGTCGCTTTCTCCGGTCCCTCGCGTCTGCCAGCCCCGTCTGGTCTGAGTGCCTCCCGCCGGAATCGACACGTACTCCCCCCACTCCCCGGCTCCCGGAAAAGATGGCAGTGGTGGTCGGTCCGCCTTTCCCTTCAGCCAGGGCCGTGGCCCTCTGGTCCCCGTGGCCGTGGTGGCTCTCCATCGCTTTAAAGCACCTGGCGTTCCTGCGGGTTTCATTCTGTTCATCTTGCATATTCTCAGCAGGAGAACCGGGTCTAGTCCGGCTCCCTCTTCACAACTGGAAGTCCCACCTGGTGCGTGTCTCCCTCCCTCCCTCCCTCCCTCCCTCCCTCCCTCCCTTCCTTCCTTCCTTCCTTCCTTCCTTCCTTCCTTCCTTCCTTCCTTCCCTCCGGAAGGGGTCTGCTCACGGCCCTCTGTTCCCTCCCCAGGATGCAGTGTCGGCCTTACTCGCAAGAACGTCGGCCGAACTGCTGGCTGTGGAGCAGGAATTGGCACAGGAAGACGAAGAGCCGGGGCCGGGCGCAGAGCAGAGGGGTCCGGATGGAGACTGGTAAGCCCTTCCTCCTTGGCCGGCGGGAACTCAGGGAGGATGTGCTCCGTTTCTCATAAGACACTTTCCGCCCGGCCTGCGGCTCCGTGGCTGAGCGTCGACCTAGGAACCAGGAGGTCACGGCTCCAGTCCTGAGCAGGCACACGCGGGGGTTGTAGGATCGATCCCCAGGAGCGGGCGTGCAAGAGGCAAACGATCAATGATTCTGTCATCGTTGATGTTTCTATCTCTTGCTCCCTCTCCCTTTTCTGGAATCAATACAAAAAATATATATATTTTTTAAAGAAACTTCCAGGGAAACCTTCGTGGGATCAGGCCTCATTCTGGAGCCAGGGGCAGCGGCGTAGCTTCAGGGAGCTGCTCCCCGAGGAGCAGCCCCCTCCGTCCCTAGAGGCAGAAGGGGACATGGGGAGATTGTCAGGACAGTTAACACATCAGCGAGACTCGAGTCCTTTGGTAACTTGAACACTATTTCCTGAGCTCTTTTAACTCCAGGTCTACACAATGGTGCGGTGGGTTACTGTGGAGTTACAGATAAGTTTAAAAACTGGCTTTTTTCCTTAACTGCGGTGCCGTTCAGGCTTTGGCGAGTCCAGTCAGGTGTTAGGGGATGGCTTCTGAGCAGCCATTTCACTGTTTGTTACCTATCACCTTCACCTTCCTTTGTTACCTCATCTCATTACTCACTCCCCAGCCTTTACAAAAGGTTTGGCGGGATTGGTAATCACAGCTTTTGTCTGGATTCCGGTCTGTATGAAGAATGATAATCTTTCTTGGTTTGTACTGTCTTCTCTGAAATCCAATTTTAGTGACTACATCTGTTTTGTAAGTACGCGTGTAAAATTACTTGAATTAATTTTTATATATAAATATATATTACTTGAGCTACTGTTAGCACACGTGCTTACACATATATAACACGCGTTTGTGTGCATGTGTGTGTAGAAAACGCTTTCCCAGTTAGAATAACAACATACAAATAAGGTCGTGGGCACGTGGCAGGAGCAGCGACCTGCAGTGATGTCAGAGGAACAGGTGCACGTGGTTCTCATCAGCAGCCTCACAGGGAATAAAACCAGAGACCGCAAAAGTGCACACACCAGGAACTGAGTGAGGACATGTTGTATTAAGGTATCGTTAGATATGAGCCTTCCTGTGCATGTGAAGGGCAATTTGTTTCGCACGCATTTCAAAAATACACTTTATGAAATACACGTAAAGAAATCTGCACCTCACAGTGTTCATTGCTAGCCCCCGTCTTCACGCCATGACGAGGCGTTTAATGTCTAGGCTGTACCAGTTGGTCGCCAATCACAATTAAAGCTCTGCTTTTCGTTATCAGTAGAGAAGATGTCCGCATTCCAAGAACATGAAACACAGCCCAGCATGAGACGTTCTAAACACGCTGAGCTCCTGCTCACCCGTCAGTAGAGTTTGTACAGAACACGTATGTGTGGTAAAGCCCCCGCTTACCACAGCACCCAAGCCCGGGCCACGGCTTTTGTGGACGACAAGGTCACACGGCCTGAAGGGTCTTCTGTAATTTCCGCAGTGAAACTCCCTTCCCTCCGGGTCCACCCCCGCAGACCGTGAGTGCGGGGGAACATGGGTATTTTGACTCCTCATGTCTTTATCCACTCTGAGCAGACTCACTCTGTTCCATCGTACGATTAACTCTACAAGACTCGGCCCGGCCAGTGCTGCTCAGTGGTTGAGCATTGACCTAAGAACCTGGAGGTCATGGTTCGATTCCCGGTCAGGGCAAATGCCTGGGTTGCAGGCTCCATCCCCAGTGTGGGGCAGTGCAGGAGGCAGCCGATCCATGATTCTCCTTCATCAGTGATGTTTCTATCTCTCCCTCACCTTTCCTCTCTGAAATCAATAAAAATATATTTTTAAAAATCTTTTTCAAGACACAGACAACTAACACCAAGTTATATTCTAGGGAGTGTCAATATTTTTAAATGGTGGGGCTAACTTTAATATTTGACTTTCTATATATTTCTATTTTAATCTTTAGGGATTAGGTCAAATTTCACTCATGAGTTTGACAGTTGAGTACCTAACTATGGTGGCGTCGCTGTCTGTTGCTGGAGAAAACGTTATTTTTCAAGTTCGTTTTAGTAGAAAGGGCTTGATCTGTGTCTGCTGTCCCTTGCCCTGGTGCCAGGTGGACGTCCCAGGTTGCATTGTGCGGGGACACGTCGGCTGGACTTAACGTGTGTCTCCTTTTGTTTCTCCGAAGGCTGGCGATGCTGAGGGAGGCCTCTGACGAAGTGGTGGCTGAGGAAGAGGCGGACGTGGCCTTGCCAGGGGGCAGCAGGTGTATGGGAGACCTAAGCTCATGCCCGGGTATGCCCGCGACTGCTGGAGGCACAAGGAGGGCAGAGAGCAGCTGTGCCAACGGCCCTGGCAGCCAGCCCCCTCCGGGAATGCCCACCCTGGTGAGTACTTCCGCTGCCCTCCCCCCGGGCCGGCTCTCACCGGCTCCCCGCCGGCTGCGCTTGTCTCTGCCGGTGTAACCACACCGGGCCTTTGCAGAAGCTGATTGATTGCCATAGGCATCATGGAGTCGGCTCTCAGAGGCATCGTAAACGCCTTAAAAATCTCAAATGGGCCCAAATATTCACTCCCCACTTAGCTTCTCTGTGAGAAGGTAGATCTCACAGAGAAGCGGTACGTAGATCTGGTTACGGCTCTGTGTTTATTAAAAGCATTTTCAGAGTTTCCTGGGTAACACCGGGATGATCACCTAATTGTATTGAGTTTCATAAATGTTGCAAGTTTACTTCCACTTCCAACAGGCGGTCAGCAGTTCACGCCCGTAGAGGGTGTTCTGATTGGGGGTGGCAGAGGGCCCTTCCGGGCACAGGCGCTCACCAAGTGGCAGGCTCGTTGAGCGGACGTTATCTTCAGGCTTTGAGGATGCTGGCGAACGTGGGATGTAACAAGCTTAGAGAATCCCTTTATCCTGAGAAAGCAGTGCCGCATGTACCCGACTGAAGACTTCGTGTGGGTGGGCACGTGTGATTGCAGAGTCTACATAAACCTATGCTTTTGCAGTAGATCTCATTTTCTTGTTTAATCACCTTTATCACTTACTGGAAGCCCGATGCACGAAGATTCGTGCTAGAATGGGCTTTCCTCTCCCTGGCTGCCAGCCCAGCCCCTGTCCACTCCACCCCGCCTCCCCACGCTGCCCAGAGGCCCCGAGAGACTGGGGGTAGGGCAGAACGCCTGTGTCATTGCCAAGCATCACTCAGCGCCTGTGTATGCAAATTAACCACCTCCTTTGTTGGGTTAGTTTGCATATCACTCCTGATTGGCTGGTGGCGTAGTAGTGGAGGTACGGTCAATTTACATGTTTGTCTATTATTAGGTAAGATTCTGGAGAAAGCACTGATCAGTTGGATGCTATTTAATGATGAGGCGTGCCCAAATAAAACAGTTTATAGCGCCATGTTAACCTTTTGTAAATGGAAACCTTTCGGCCTACTCTGTTAGGACAGGTATCACCCTACCCACCGGCTCTGCGGGTCGTCGGTTGGGATCCCCTCAGCCGTCACGAGGCCCTTCCCTCAGGAGAGGCCCGAGGGCTAGATGGGGGGGGGGGTCTCCAGTGTAAGGTCAGGCCTTCCTCTTGTCCTTAGAAGGACGGGGCACGGATGTGTCCGCGTGTGCCGCCCCTGACAGGCCTTCTGTTGCAGGTCGACAAGGAGACAAACACAGAGGAGGCCGAGGACGCGGGCCTGGCCGTCCGGCCCAAAGAGCGCGGCGTGCTGAGCGCGCGGCAGCGCCCCCTGGTGCGGAGCAGCGTGATCGTGCGCTCGCAGACCTTCTCGCCCGGGGAGCGCAGCCAGTACGTCTGCCGGGTGAGGAGCGGCCCTGCCCGCGGGACATGGCACGCGCCCGGGCACGCCCGTGGGTGGGCATCGCAGACTCCGGCCACAGGCAGGAGCCGCGGGGAATGCTTCCACAAGTTACTCGTAACTATCACACGAGTGCACATGTGTCAAACACAGGGCCCGCGGGCCAAATCCGTCCCGCCAGGCCTTGCAATGTGGCCCGCACCGCGCTGTCATCACTGCACTCCGCTGCGTTTCCATCACAATGACAGTTTGTGACTGTTCAGTAAACCATTCGGCCCGCGATTTAGGCTGGATTTTAGATTTTGGCCCCTTCTCTGATTGAGTTCGACACCCCTACTGACTAGTGGTTCGTTTTAGTTTGGTGATGGGGTGTGTGTCTCCCCCCCCCCCCCCCCCCCCCCGCCTTTCCTAAATTCAGTGTGTCATTGGCTCAGGGCCATGCATTTGGCAACTACGTGAAGTTGCAGACCTGGCTACTAAGTAAACTTGGACTTCAGTCTGTGTTTAGAAACGTCAGGTGATCTGAGGGCTATCCTTTTGTGGACCTCTGTGTCCATTATACACCGCATTGGTCCTGTTGGACCGAAAACCGTGAGTGGGGTTTTAGGACAAAGTCATCTTTTAGCGATGGGTTCTATTTCCCGTAGAGCTTATGACTTCTGGTAATACTGGTTCAGTGTTATACAACGGGTTAGAAAGAGCTGTCAAAGTGTGTTCGTCTGATCCAACAGGCGTGTGTGTATCAGCACCTGCTCTTAAGCATGTCTCTAGCTGCCTGGGGTGGGTCCGGACCAGAGCCCCCGGCACTGCCCTTGCAGAGCTGCGATGAGCCGTGGACCCGATGCGTCTGGGATGGGGCCGGGGGCTGTGAGATGAGGGGCTGGGATGCCGAGGGCGAGGGGGCAGGTTTAAGTAGGTTCACGTGGGCTTCACCGACGAGGTGACATTTCACAGCTCCCTGGTGCCGGCGGCGGGGAGAGGATGGGCTGACTGGGCTAAGAGCCATCTCGGTTGAGCAAACTGTGGCTCAGCTCCCCCCTGCACACCAGCTTTTCTTTTAAAGATAAATGCTGTGGGCCCTGGCCAGTTTGGCTCAGGGGATAATAGAGCGGCGGCGTGCAGACTGAAGGGTCCCAGGTTCAGTTCTGGTCAAGGGCACATGCCCGGGTTGTGGGGTTAATTCGCAGTAGGAGGTGTGCAAGAGGCAACCGATCAGTGATTCTCTCTCATCATTGATGTTTCTATTTCTTCCTCTCCCTTCCTTCTGAAAGCAATTTTAAAAAATTAAATTAAATAAATGTTGCAGGGGGGAGGGGGGAATAAGTAAAAATAAATCAATGTTGTGTATTAGCTGAAAACAAAAAGGATATTTTATGTCAGAGTCTGTGCGGTTATCTTAGCCATGACTTCGGATAACTGCCACCGACAGGCACTTGTTTCACTTATTCCTGGAGAGCACGTCGGGTAAGGAAAAACGGGGCAAGGCAGAGCCTGTGGGAGGGTTTTCTGTACAAGATGGACTGTTATCGCCACCCCTTTCCCTGCCCCTTGGTCGGCAGTCTGTCAGGCAGTGACTTTCTCTTCTTATCCTTTTTGCCAGTTAAATCGGAGTGACAGCGACAGCTCAACCCTGGCTAAAAAGTCTCTGTTTGTGAGAAACTCCACTGAGCGGCGCAGTTTGAGGGTCAAACGGGTACGTATTCCGTCAGCAGCGGCCCGGTCCTGCCCACCGGAGTCCTGGCCGCCATGCGTCCGCGCCCGCTGGCCCTGGGCTCCTGTGTGGAGCCGCTGTGATGACAGGGAGGCCGATGTCCAGAGCTTCACGCAGAACAGTCACGTTTCAGTTCCTTCCCTCTTCCGTCAGCTGGTCCAGCTTCTATTCAGAATCTCCTGTTTTCCATTAATTGGAAATGTAACCAGGAAGGGGCCTCCTGTTCCCTGCGTATGTCTCACCGGCCTGTCCCCAGGCCAGTCCGGCCCAGGCTCAGTGACCTCCCTCCCCTGAGTCCTGTGCACAGCGGCACCCCCCTCACAGTCCCCTCGTCCTCTCACTCCTCCTCAAGGTCACTCTGACCTTCCCTCACTGAGTCCTATGGCACAGGGATCCCCCCTCACAGTCCCCTCGTCTCTCACTCCTCCTCAAGGTCACTCTGACCTTCCCTCACTGAGTCCTATGGCACTGGGATCCCCCCTCACAGTCTTCACGTCCTCTAACTCCTCCTCAAGGTCACTCTCTGACCTTCCCTCACTGAGTCCTCTGGCACAGGGATCCCCCCCTCACAGTCTCCCACGTCCTCTCACTCCTCCTCAAGGTCACACACTGTCCTCTCTCTAGGGCACATGTGTCAAACACAAGGCCCGCGGGCCAAATCCGTCCCGCCAGGCCTTGCAATGTGGCCCGCACCGCGCTGTCATCACTGCACTCTGCTGCGTTTCCATCACAGTGACAGTTTATGACTGTTCAGTAAACCATTCGGCCCGCGATTTAGGCTGGATTTTAGATTTTGGCCCCTTCTGATTGAGTTTGACACCCCTAGTTTTGCCTGCAGACCCCAGCAGACATTCATTCGTACATACTCAGGCTATTTCTTGATAAACCGCTAAGCCTGGCTGCAGGAAGCACAGCCGACACACGGGGCTGAGAGCTGGTGTTAGACGATGGGAGCCGAGGAGGGGCCAGGCTGGGCACGTCACTTAGAGGAGGGGCCAGATCTGAGCTCCTCTGCCCGCAGCCCTCCGGCCCGCATCACAGGCGTGAGAGCAGGTGTGCGCACGGGGAGAGGGCGTGTCCCGAGACGAGGGGCGTGAGGTCCTGCACGTGTGCGCGCGTGAGTCTGCAGCGGGAGCAGGGAAGGTCTGCTTCTTGCTCAGCCCGCGCTCGCTGCCGTCTGGCTGGGTCCCTGCTGCTATGGGCCCCACTCGGGACCCGTCTCTGGACGCAGCAGGAGCAAGAGGTGTGCAGGCTGGACACTGGCACTGGAGAGCTTGCACTGGGAGTGACACACGCACTCCGCTGACCGGCACTGGAGGGCTCGCCCCTCGGCGGGCAAGGCCTCCCTCGGGAGCCGGGAGTCGGGAGCTGGGGCCAGGAGCAGGGGTGGGGCCAGGAGCCGCCAGCCGGGGCCAGGAGCAGGGCTGGGGCCAGGAGCCGCCAGCCGGGGCCAGGAGCCGCGAGCAGGGGTGCTGCCAGGAGCCGCCAGCCGGGGCCAGGAGCAGGGCCGGGGCCAGGAGCAGGGGTGGGGCCAAGAGCCGCCAGCCGGGGCCAGGAGCAGGGCTGGGGCCAGGAGCCGCCAGCCGGGGCCAGGAGCTGCCAGCCGGGGCCAGGAGCTGCCAGCCGGGGCCAGGAGCCGCCAGCCGGGGCCAGGAGCAGGGGTGCTGCCAGGAGCCGCCAGCCGGGGCCAGGAGCAGGGCGGCAGGGATGCGGGCGGCGGGGATGCATGCGGGCGGGCGGGCGGGCGGGCGCTCAGGGCGTTCCCCGCCTGTTCCACCCCGCAGGCGATGTGCCAGCCGGCGCTCCGGAGGGCGGCCCAGGAGTGCCCGGTGCGCACGTCCCTGGACCTGGAGCTGGACCTGCAGGCCTCGCTCACACGCCAGAGCCGCCTCAACGACGAGCTGCAGGCGCTGCGGGACCTGCGGCAGCGGCTGGAGCAGCTGAAGGCCCAGGGCCAGACGGACCTGCCGCCCGGCGTGCTGGAGGACGAGCGCTTCCAGCGGCTGCTGCGCGAGGCCGAGAAGCAGGTGCAGCCGGGCGTGCGCGGGAGGCGGGGAGATGGGCGTGCGCGGGAGGCGGGGGAGATGGGTGTGTGTGCGCGGGAGGCGGGGAGATGGGCCTGTGCGCGGGAGGCGGGGGAGATGGGCGTGTGCGCGGGAGGCGGGGAGATGGGCGTGTGTGCGCGCGAGGCGGGGGAGATGGGCGTGTGCGCGGGAGGCGGGGGAGAGGGGCGTGTGCGCGGGAGGCGGGGAGATGGGCGTGTGCGCGGGAGGCGGGGAGATGGGCGTGTGCGCGGGAGGCGGGGGAGAGGGGCGTGTGCGCGGGAGGCGGGGGAGAGGGGCGTGTGCGCGGGAGGCGGGGGAGAGGGGCGTGTGCGCGGGAGGCGGGGGAGATGGGCGTGTGCGCGGGAGGCGGGGGAGAGGGGCGTGCGCGGGAGGCGGGGGAGATGGGTGTGTGTGCGGGAGGCGGGGGAGATGGGCGTGCGCGGGAGGCGGGGGAGATGGGCGTGTGTGCGCGGGAGGCGGGGGAGATGGGCGTGTGTGCGCGGGAGGCGGGGGAGATGAGTGTGTGCGGGAGGCGGGGGAGATGGGTGTGTGTGCGGGAGGCGGGGGAGATGGGTGTGTGCGCGGGAGGCGGGGGAGATGAGTGTGTGTGCGCGGGAGGCGGGGAGATGGGCGTGCGCGGGAGGCGGGGGAGATGGGTGTGTGTGCGGGAGGCGGGGGAGATGAGTGTGTGTGCGCGGGAGGCGGGGAGATGGGCGTGCGCGGGAGGCGGGGGAGATGGGTGTGTGTGCGCGGGAGGCGGGGAGATGGGCCTGTGCGCGGGAGGCGGGGGAGATGGGCGTGTGCGCGGGAGGCGGGGGAGATGGGCGTGTGCGCGGGAGGCGGGGAGATGGGCGTGTGCGCGGGAGGCGGGGAGATGGGCGTGTGCGCGGGAGGCGGGGGAGATGGGCGTGTGCGCGGGAGGCGGGGGAGATGGGCGTGTGCGCGGGAGGCGGGGAGATGGGCGTGTGCGCGGGAGGCGGGGGAGATGGGTGTGTGCGGGAGGCGGGGGAGATGGGCGTGTGCGCGGGAGGCGGGGAGATGGGCCTGTGCGCGGGAGGCGGGGGAGATGGGCGTGTGCGCGGGAGGCGGGGGAGATGAGTGTGTGCGGGAGGCGGGGGAGATGGGCGTGCGCGGGAGGCGGGGGGGGATGGGCGTGTGTGCGCGGGAGGCGGGGGAGATGGGCGTGTGTGCGCGGGAGGCGGGGAGATGAGTGTGTGCGGGAGGGCGGGGGAGATGGGTGTGGTGTGCGGAGGCGGGGGAGATGGGTGTGTGCGGGAGGCGGGGGAGATGAGTGTGTGTGCGCGGGAGGCGGGGAGATGGGCGTGCGCGGGAGGCGGGGGAGATGGGTGTGGGTGCGGGGAGGCGGGGGAGATGAGTGTGTGTTGCGCGGGAGGCGGGGAGAGTGGGCCGTGCGCGGGAGGCGGGGGAGATGGGCGTGGTGCGCGGGAGGCGGGGGAGATGGGCGTGTGCGCGGGAGGCGGGGAGATGGGCGTGTGCGCGGTAGGCGGGGAGATGGGCGTGCGCGGGAGGCGGGGGGAGATGGGTGTGTGCGCGGGAGGCGGGGAGATGGGCCTGTGCGCGGGAGGCGGGGGAGATGGGTGTGTGTGCGGGAGGCGGGGAGATGGGCGTGTGCGCGGGAGGCGGGGGAGATGGGTGTGTGCGGGAGGCGGGGGAGATGGGTGTGTGCGGGAGGCGGGGGAGATGGGCGTGTGCGCGGGAGGCGGGGAGATGGGCGTGTGCGCGGGAGGCGGGGGAGATGGGTGTGTGCGGGAGGCGGGGGAGATGGGCGTGTGCGCGGGAGGCGGGGAGATGGGCGTGCGCGCGGGAGGCGGGGGAGATGGGTGTGTGTGCGCGGGAGGCGGGGGAGATGGGCGTGTGCGCGGGAGGCGGGGGAGATGGGTGTGTGTGCGGGAGGCGGGGGAGATGAGTGTGTGCGGGAGGCGGGGGAGATGGGCGTGCGCGGGAGGCGGGGGAGATGGGCGTGCGCGGGAGGCGGGGGAGATGAGTGTGTGCGCGGGAGGCGGGGGAGATGGGTGTGTGCGCGGGAGGCGGGGGAGATGGGTGTGTGTGCGGGAGGCGGGGGAGGGGGGAGGTGTGCGCGGAGCCATCCCTCCAAGGCCGCCGGGGGGAGGGGCCAGCTCCCTCCTCAGCTTGCTCGGCTCCTCAGATCCCTACAGGCGTCTTCAAACTACGGCCCGCGGGCCACATGCGGCCCGCAGAGGAGTCTGATCCGGCCCGCCAGGTTTTTTGGGCAGTGAGCGCAGCCGAGGTGTTACAGTAGGAATTAGTAGTTCATATAGTCCGGCCCTCCAGCTCTCTGAGGGACCGTGATCTGGCCCCCACTTTGAAAAGTTTGAGGACGCCTGCTTTACAACATCTCGGAGCAGCTTTCTGCCGTGGCCTTCTTAACCCAGGAGGTGGCTGAGAGAGAGGGGTCCCGCCCGCCGCTCCGCACCCCGTCCTCCCGACCAGGGGGCGTGGCAGCGAGGGCAGCGGCCGTCACTTCTTTTTTTAAAAAAATATATTTTATTGATTTTTTTACATAGAAGAGGGGAGAAGGACAGAGAGTTGGAAACATCGATGAGAGAGAAACATCGATCAGCTGCCTCCTGCACACCCCCCACTGGGGATGTGCCCACAATCAAGGTACATGCCCTTGACCGAATCGAACCTGGGACCCTTCAGTCCGCAGGCCAATGCTCTATCCACTGAGCCACACCACTCAGGGCCATCACTTTGCTCAGCGCCTTCCTTCGCCTCTACGTGAGACTTGACAGATAAGCACAGTAAAACTTTTAACACACGAGGTCGCTTGCGTTTGAAATGGCCCAGCCACATCACTGTGGATGTACCACTAACGGTAACACTCCTGAGTTTTCACATTCTGTGACCTTCAAAGAAGGTCACGCTGCACACATTCACCCTCCACACAGCTGTATAAAACAGCACAGAAAATCACCGATTTAAAAATAGGGTATTTTAAAGGAATATTTCTATTAGTCTCACTCCTAAGTGAGAAGTTCAAGAGCCTTCATATTGGTGATATTGGTTTATTCTCTCAAGACTAAAGAGTTTATATTTTAGCGTAAGAGCATATGTTTACATCTGTAACAATGAAAGCGTAATATGCTAATTAGACTGGAAGTCCTTCCAGACGAAGCCGCAGCACAAATTTCATACATTGAGCTTCCAGTCAATATATAACATACGAATAGAACTTCCACGTAGCTGAAATACTGCAAATGCCAGAACCTTTTCTTTCAACTCTTTTTGGATGGAAATCTGAAATAGATTCGTCGCCTCCTTACATGTAATAGAAGCTTCTGTCCATAATTTCTTAATCATACAGATGGAACTCAGAAACTTAACGTATGGATTTCAGAGATCAAACTGATACCAATGACTTTTTAAAGAAAGTTTAAGCAACCAAACCCATTACATACCTGAGAGAAAGGGCCCTCACACACAATAGGATCTCAGGGAATGTCTGTTCAGCAAGGAGCTGAAAGGCAGGTCTCCTATTTGATGCCACGGCGGGTAACAGGGTAATCAGACTCCGTCGTGCCCTTACAGGGCTTGTGGTTTGCTGCAGGCGAGGAGCCAGGAAGGCTTCCTGGAGGAAGTGGCACTTCCCTGGCCTGGAAAGTGGGTGATGGAACTTGGTCCCAGGCGAGGGTGCAGAGGCCGGCAGGCGGGACCCAGCACAGCAGCACAGGCCCCAGAGTGCTTCCGGCAGGGAAGAGCCAGACGGGACCCCGCAGGACAGCAGAGGCTTTCTGCAAAGCGGGATGTGGAGTTGAAGGCTGAAATGACCTCGTCCTGTGTGTGTGCGTGTGTGACCTTAGGGCCATCACCCGCTTCACTCTCCTGAGTCTTTTAGTTCCGCGTTAGCACCAATTCCAAACCGCTGGTTGACATGACCCACGTTAATATCCTGCAGAAGCACTGCAGTCTCTAACCCTCAGTCCTGAAAGGTTTGCATGGCCGGGTTCGAGTTTTCGACCGTAGACCTGAGCAGGACCTCACGGCTTCGCGTTTCTGTAAACAGCCTGCCGTGGTGTGCAGACTGTCCTGCTGTTCTGAGTTCGGGCTGGTGGCCCTCGGGCGGGTCCCTGAGCCAGCGTAGGGCCTGGGCATTGGGCTGTTCTGTTTCCCCCTCCGGTGGGGGGGCCTGGGGGTGTCCAGCTGAACGCTCACGTCACCTTTTGGGAATGTGAGTCCACTTCCGTTAGCAGCTTTTAAATGGCTAAGGCAGAGAGAGAGGGGCTTGAAGACGAATGAGGGGTTGCAAGTATGTTTCCCAAAACGTGAGCCGTCGCATTCCGTGGGCACGGTGCTGTGGCAGCTCCTCACTTCCTCTCTGCGGGCTCAGTTCTCCGGGCGCGTGGGCAGTCACCCCGCCTGTGACAGGCGTTTCCAACGCGCTGCCCCGAACAGCCCCCAGCCGTGGCCGCTGGCCTCCGGCCTGGCCCGCGGGAGGAAGCCGCTCCCCGCACCCCGCGGGCGGCTGCGGTGCCCCTGGCTTCAGTTCGCAGCGTGAAGCCTGCGGCGGTCTCCGGCGTCTCTGATGGGTGTTCTGTGGGCTTTGTGTTCATTTCCTGCCCAGGCTGAGCAGTCCAAGGAGGAGCAGAAGCAAGACCTGAACGCGGAGAAGCTGCTGAGGCAGGCCTCCAAGGACGTGTGCCGGCTGCGGGAGCAGAGCCGCAAGGTGCCGCGGCAGGTGCAGTCCTTCAGGTAGCGCCGGGCGTGGGCGAGGGGCACTGGGGGAGGGGGAGGTGCCCTGGGCCTCAGGGTCAGGGTGCGGGACGCCCCGCCTCTCCTCCCGGGTGGGACGGATGCGTTTCCCTCCGCTCCCCCGCCCCTGCGCCCACACCCCCGTCCTCACCCTCAGGACGCGGTCTGGGGTGAGGACGGGGGTGAGGACGGAGTCTGAGGGTGAGGACGGGGGTGAGGACGGGGGTGAGGGTGAGGACGCGGTCTGAGGGTGAGGACTCGGTCTGGGGTGAGGACGCGGTCTGGGGTGAGGACGGGGGTGAGGACGCGGTCTGGGGTGAGGACACGGTCTGGGGTGAGGACGGGGGTGAGGACGCGGTCTGGGGTGAGGACGGGGGTGAGGACGGAGTCTGAGGGTGAGGACGGGGGTGAGGACGTGGTCTGGGGTGAGGACGGGGGTGAGGACGCGGTCTGGGGTGAGGACGCGGTCTGAGGGTGAGGACGGGGGTGAGGACGTGGTCTGGGGTGAGGACGTGGTCTGGGGTGAGGACGCGGTCTGGGGTGAGGACGCGGTCTGGGGTGAGGACGGGGGTGAGGACGCGGTCTGGGGTGAGGACGGGGGTGAGGACGGAGTCTGAGGGTGAGGACGGGGGTGAGGACGTGGTCTGGGGTGAGGACGGGGGTGAGGACGTGGTCTGGGGTGAGGACGCGGTCTGGGGTGAGGACGCGGTCTGGGGTGAGGACGGGGGTGAGGACGCGGTCTGGGGTGAGGACGGGGGTGAGGACGGAGTCTGAGGGTGAGGACGGGGGTGAGGACGCGGTCTGGGGTGAGGACGGGGGTGAGGACGCGGTCTGGGGTGAGGACGCGGTCTGAGGGTGAGGACGGGGGTGAGGACGTGGTCTGGGGTGAGGACGCGGTCTGGGGTGAGGACGCGGTCTGGGGTGAGGACGGGGGTGAGGACGCGGTCTGGGGTGAGGACGTGGTCTGGGGTGAGGACGCGGTCTGAGGGTGAGGACGCGGTCTGGGGTGAGGACGGGGGTGAGGACGCGGTCTGGGGTGAGGACGGGGGTGAGGACGCGGTCTGAGGGTGAGGACGGGGGTGAGGATGCGGTCTGGGGTGAGGACGCGGTCTGGGGTGAGGACGGGGGTGAGGACGGGGGTGAGGACGCGGTCTGGGGTGAGGACGGGGGTGAGGACGGGGGTGAGGACGCGGTCTGGGGTGAGGACGGGGGTGAGGACTGGGGTGAGGACGCGGTCTGGGGTGAGGACGGGGGTGAGGACGCGGTCTGGGGTGAGGACACGGTCTGGGGTGAGGACGGGGGTGAGGACGCGGTCTGGGGTGAGGACAGGGTCTGGGGTGAGGACGGGGGTGAGGACGCGGTCTGAGGGTGAGGACGGGGTGAGGACGGGGGTGAGGACGCGGTCTGGGGTGAGGACGGGGGTGAGGACGCGGTCTGAGGGTGAGGACGGGGGTGAGGACGCGGTCTGGGGTGAGGACAGGGTCTGGGGTGAGGACGGGGGTGAGGACGCGGTCTGAGGGTGAGGACGGGGGTGAGGACGGGGGTGAGGACGCGGTCTGGGGTGAGGACGGGGGTGAGGACGCGGTCTGAGGGTGAGGACGGGGGTGAGGACGCGGTCTGGGGTGAGGACGGGGTCTGGGGTGAGGACGGGGGTGAGGACGCGGTCTGGGGTGAGGACGGGGGTGAGGACGGGGGTGAGGACGCGGTCTGAGGGTGAGGACGGGGGTGAGGACGCGGTCTGGGGTGAGGACGCGGTCTGGGGTGAGGACGCGGCCTGAGGGTGAGGACGGGGGTGAGGACGCGGTCTGGGGTGAGGACGGGGGTGAGGACGCGGTCTGGGGTGAGGACGGGGGTGAGGACGCGGTCTGGGGTGACGGGTGTGATCTGCGGTGATGGGCTGGAGCCAGAGCTGGTGTCCGTCGCCCCGCCGTGCAGGGCAGAGGTCCTGGGCTTGAAGCAGAGTCTTCCTGGGACCAGGGGAGGCCTCTGAGGCCGGGCGGTGTCTGCGGTCCCACCGTGTGCAGCCGCACTGAGGGCTTGTTCCTCCGGCTCCAGGGAGAAGATCGCCTACTTCACCCGAGCCAGGATCAGCATCCCGTCGCTGCCGGCCGACGACGTGTGACGCGTCCTGAGGAACGGGCGCCCCGCCCTCGGGGGAAGGACTGAGCGGTGTCTGGTGGGTCTGTCTGGGGAGGGTGTCACTGTCAGTGCCTCAGGAGCTGTTACTTCTCATCAGGATCTCCACGTGCTGATTTGTAAAGTTTGGGATGTAATTCTTCTATAAAAAGGCAAGAAAAGCCAGGTAACCAAGCGGGCGGATCTGTACCCAGACGTCCCGCAGGAGCGGGCTGTAGACCCGGAGTCGGGCAGAGCCCAGGGCTGTCCTTCGAACCCGCAGAGGCGGCGCGGCTCTTGCTTTTCCTGGTTTCCCGCGAAGGCCAGGGCGGCCCGAGCCCCCGGGGTCTGGGACTCAGAGCGGCAAGTCCGCCGTGAGCGAGCCTTGAGGGAGCTCCGGGGCCAGGAAGCAGGTGCTGTGTTCCTCTCCGTCACCTTTGTGCAAACACCGGTCTCCGTAAAGCAGCGTCTTCTCTGTCTCTTTCTGTTCGTTTGTCTAAAGAAAACAAAACGCTGAGTTCAAGCACATCCGTGCCGACCCGGGAGCGGGCTCCTGGCTGCACAAAGGCCTCGCGGCCGCCCCCCCCCCCGGAGGGCAGGGAGGAGGGTGCCCTGCAGCCCCGGGCGGCGGGGGCCGCAGGTGTGAGCCTGGCTCTCCGAGGTGGGGGGACGGTGGCCCTCGTCCTGAGGACACACACTGCCGCCGGGGAGGGAACCCATCGCATCCGCGTGGTGAAACCAGGAAAAGCAAAGGGTATCCTGATTGCATAAAGGTGCCAAAAAAATTAAGTCCTTTATGAAACAGATTTGTGACGTTTCACAGCCGCTCCTCGCAGCCCTCGTTGAGGGGGTCCTGTCTGTGTGGGGAGGAGCCGGGAAGCAGAGAGAAGCGTGGGCCTGGGAGACTGCGCCTGGAGCATCGGCTGAGCTGTTTGTCTCCAACAGAAGCCATTGCAGGTGGCCCCTGAGAGCTGCCTCAGCGTCCCCACGGCGCCTCCCGGTGCGGAATCCCAGCTGGCCCAGCCCAGGCCCTTCCCAGCAGGAACTCCCGTGTGGCCCACCAGGCGTTTAAATACTCCTATGCAATTTAATACTCCGTTTGTAATACTGGAAGAGGCAGTTTTTGGCCAGCCATCTTTTATAGAAAACTAAATCCTTTTTTTAAAAAAGATGCAAAAGTCATCTTAAAGGAATAGGCCCCTTTACACACACACACACACACACACACACACACACGTTCTGTTTTTAAGCAAGAATCCTCCATAGCAAGAATTTTTATTTTCTTGAGAGCAATTACACATGTTTTAGAAGGTGAGTTTTGTCAGGATCAAAATTCAAATGAAGCCGTTTCTGAGCCTTGAACTTGATCGTTTCCTGAGTGTTCCACCACTTACATACAAACGTCTTTGAAGCTGTAACTGGACGTGACACTACTCTGAACAAACACCAGCCTTACGAATTGACCACATGCAGTCCCTCGGGATCTGCCCAGTTCACTCTCTCAGCCGATTGAGGAAAACGAGGAAAGAATACCATTCATCCTTGTCAAGGTCAAATGTGAAAGAGAAGTTTATTTAATGTAGAGATAAATGAAGGTCAGCTGTTGTCAGCTTCTTCGTTTGACCGTGGAAATGTTTATAGAATTATGTGTAGTGTTACCGTACGATTTTATTTTCTTCATTTATTTATTTACGGTCTTATTTATGTTCTGTTTAATATATAGTTCGGTTCTGGCCATTTTAAATGTTTGACATAGAAGAAGCTATATTGGGATATTTACAGCTTTATAAATCATCAAGACGAGTATAAAAGAATAAAATCTGTCTCAGGCTGGTAGTTAACAGCTGTGACCAAGAAGCTTTCAGTTTTATTTTACAAAATTTGCTCATTTCTAACACGAGAGATGAACTTATTTTAATATAATTATTTTCCACACTTTAAAAATCAGCAATAGTGTTATGCATTTATAGGAAGCTTTTAACAGCCCTATCATATTTGTACTAACCCAAGTGATTCACAGTGACACATTTTAATAACTTGATCACAAAACCGTATGGACAATATGAATTTTAATATTATAAATGCTATATTTTAAAGGTAGAATTTATTCTGCACAGGGTAAAAAGAATGTAATATTTAGTTCTCAAGTTTGAATTATCAACATGTTACTACAATTTTGTATATCAGAATCTAAGTGTTACAGGTACAACAAGCATACTGCTAGCCAAATGAACAACGTTTAGCTGAATCTCTGTCGCATGCAAATCAAATAAATTTAAAATCTTTTTTTTTTTTTGCTATTACTTTATATTGTATTAAATATCAAAAGCTCAGGACTGAACTAAATATTTAATCAGGTTAAATTCTGAATATGTTTCTGTTTTAATTTGTCTTGTTTGTAAACGTGTGCAAATACATCACATAGACTAACTGGTTTCTGCACTTTTCATGTGTTTGTGGGTGGGAAATATTCAGTGGGTTATTTGGGGGTTGGGTTTTGTTTTGTTTGGTTTTTTTTTGCTTTTGTTATTTTCAACAAAGATACATATTCCCTAAGACTTCATTTGTGTCGTTTGTTGTTCCGGTAATTTCCCTGATTGGCTCAAACACAAGAATTGATTCGGCCTGTGTACAGAACAAATACAAAATCTTTCATGAAGAATCCCCCACGCCAGCAGTTTGTTGTGAATACCTCTTGGTTGGACGATATGCGTTGCTGATTAAAAAAAAAAAGGGGGGGGGGGCAGAGTATTTTCATTGTGCCAGTACAACAAGGACTCCACATGAGCTCTGCCCACACTCCCAGACTGGGCTGGCCTGCAGCGCCCCCTGCAGGGGGTGGGTGAGCATCCACCTGCTGCAGGGCCCAGTTGCAAAAGCGGGCTTGAGGGTGGGTTTTAGTGACCCTTCCGATACACAAGGCTGCTCCCCCCGGTTCCTGGCCTGGGACGGAGGCATCGGTGAGTGGCCAGGAGTCCTGAGGTCTCTGACAAAGACATGATGTGTCCCCGTCTCTCCCCTCTCCAGCTTTCAGAGAGCAGCGTAATAAGCAGATGCCACACATTGCAACTAAACATGCCGTGAGCCTGTTTCTGTACAGAGGTCATCTTAAACACTTGAGAGAAGAGATTGTTAGCAGTCACATTTCCCACGGCCAGGATGCCCCGTCTCTCTGAGTAGTAACACCTTCAGGGGCGTAAGTCCCGGTGGAATGTTTTATTTACCAGTTCTGTGCAATCACCAGCTCTGTTTTAAAACCGAGGAGACGCCTCCACAGAAACGAGCAGGATTACCGTTGAGTCTTGATTGGCTTTGGCCTCAGAGTGGCTTAGTGTCTTAGAAACCACAGTTGGAGGAGCCAGTCCCCATGGCGGGGGGTGCGTGTTAGAAAGTTGCCAGCCTGGTGCCTGGGTGACCAGGCAGCAGGGAATCCTACCCGGTCCGGGGCTGAGCCGGCACCCTCCGAGGCGGGGGCGCCGGGTCCTCGGGCTCAGACTGCCAGGCGGGTGTTTTTCATCTCCAGCGGGTGACGGAGATGCTGTGTCTCTGCCGCCGGGTCCTGGCCCGCAGCCCGCGGGGCCCGGGGCCAGCAGGCCGCCCCGGTGACCAGGCAGCCCCCGAGGAGCAGGGAGAAGCCGGCGAACCAGCCCAGGAAGAGGGCCTCCCCGAACTCCCACCGGGGCACCACCTCGGGGACCGTGTCGTCCCAGAACTCCCGCACCGTCACGTGGGCCACCCAGGACACGGGCGCCAGGGCCGCGGCCCCCGCCGCCCAGCACAGCGCCCCTCCCAGCGCCAGCAGCCGCCGCTTGCGCCCTCGCCGCCCCTCTCCGACCCGCGAGCAGTCCAGCCCGCAGCCCGAGGCCAGCAGCCCCAGCAGCCCCAGCCCGTGGGACAGGAACATGAGCGCCCGGGACACCCGCAGCTCCACGGGCAGGGCCAGGAAGGAGTCGAAGTCCTTGCACTGCACGCCCACCTCTTCCTGGACGACGCAGGCTTGCCACAGGCCCAGGGTCCAGCTCTCCATCTCGTTCAGCTCCAGGTTCAGGCGCTTCCACTGGGGCAGGTAGTTGGTGAGACAGGCTAACACCCACCCCAGCAAAGAGGAGGACACTCCGGCCACCTGGACCGCCGTTCTCGGTGCGAAAGCCATCGTTGGGAGGTCCCGGGAGCGTCAGCCCCGGGAGCTGCTGCCTCTCGGCTGCCGGGGGAAGTGCGGCGGGCTCTGGCGGTCGCCTGCAGAGCTCAGAAATCTTTTCTTCATTGTGTGTACAAGAGGATTCTTGCCAGGGTGGCTATTGTTTGACTCCATGCTGAATGGGTTTCAGGAAAGGGAAGGGAACTAATTCTGCAAGCCAGCCAGTCATGCCAAGGAGGGGCCAAGATCAATTTTCTAGCAAGCAGCGCGTCCCTGAAATAACACGGAGCGCTCAGAGCCCTCCTCTCATTGTTCGCGCCTCAATGGCTCTCCTCCGTTTCCCAGCCTCCCCGGCAGGTCGGAGAGCAGAAGGAGCATGAATGCGGAACGTGTAATTGACGGTTCGGGTTCAGCGCCCGCCGCTCTCTCTCCAGCTAATCGCACCTGCCAGGGCCTCCGCCCGTGACGGCGCTCACGTTTCAGGACATGGGTTGTGGCTGCACCGAGTGTTATCGTAAAAAAAAAAAAAAAACAAAAAACAAGAAAAGTATTTCTTACCCAAATCTATCTCCCCAGAAATTTCTCTAGATCGTGAATCAGGCCTACTTTTTTTTTTTTTTTTTTTTAATATATTTTATTGATTTTTTACAGAGAGGAAGAGAGAGGGGTAGAGAGTTAGAAACATCGATGAGAGAGAGTCATCGATCAGCTGCCTCTTACACACCCCCCTACTGGGGATGTGCCCGCAACCAAGGTACATGCCCTTGACCGGAATCGAACCCGGGACCTTTCAGTCCACAGGCCGAAGCTCTGTCCACTGAGCCACACTGGTTTCAGCAAGGCCTACGTTTTAAAGATTCCTCAGGGCACACACACCACCTAACATCTGAAACGCTACTAAGAACAAAGCCACTGTGTGGGAATTACTCTCGGGAATGAGTTGAACCTGGGCTTGGCCACATTCCTCCCTGCCGGAGCACGGCCAGTGCGCGGACACGCGTGTCTTCTGGGCTGACATGTGCTCACCACACTGAGGCAGAGGGGAGCAAAGGGACTGTGTAGATTTGTACCAGCATCTCTTGTTGCAAAGCTGAAGTATAAAGCTTGTCATTTGTTTTGTTGTTAATCCTCACCTGGAGGTGTTTTTCCATTGATTTTCAGAGAGCGTGGAAGGGAGGAGGGGAGACAGAGAAACATTCGTGTGAGAGAGACACATCGATTGGTTGCCTCCCACAGGCCCACCCCTGACCACCTGACCGGGCGGGGCTGGGGATCCAGCCTGCCACTGAGGCACGTGTCCTTGACCAGAATGGAACCCGTAACCCTTCCATCTGCGGGCCAAAACTTACCTACTGAGCCAAACCCGCTGGGCTGAAGCTTGTCATTTTTGATTGAACAGAGGAAAGTTTTTCTCAGGACAAATAAACGGTCAATATCCCAATATCAAGCAGAAGTGTTTCACGCTCATCTTTTTAATAGGAGGCTTTCCAGGGAAGAGACGGGAGAGGAAGTTGGCCAGGATGAGGGCATCCTGACACAAACGCCTTTGAGCCTCATAAACCTTGTCACTCAGGCCCGTGGCCCTGTCAGTTCGTAGACACAAACCACCTCTGATCGCAGAACAAAGCCGCTGAGTGGAGATTACTCTTCGGAATGAGTTTAACCTGTGGCTTTGCCAGTTGCAGACTCTCTGCTTTTCCCTTTTAGGAAGCGAAGTAACTACGACTTCCAGGGACCAACACAAACAAACAGAAGCGGTTCTAAATGTAAAACAAACGCGTTAAAGCTTCATGCGGACCGTATTGGACAACAGCCGGCCCTCGTTTTATTTCAATCACCAGGTCAATGACATTTTTCTTTTCCTTTTCTCAGACCTATGTCATGTTTAAAGCAGTAATTTTCTTTTAAGTTAGGAGACTGGCCCCTTCTCCAGGTTTTTGGGGGGAGGGGGGATCCAGGGTAAGAAAGTAGTGAGTGAGACAGTGCGAGCAGCACAGACGTAGTCACACGCACAGCTGCCTTCCCCGTGCGGACCTGGGCCCTGCTGGTGCGGAACGCGGGTCTCCCTGGTCGGGTCCAGGTCACGCTCTGGGAGCCGCAGTCCCGTTTTCCAGGCAGGGGCACCGAGCCTGTGCTTCTGCCGCCGGGTCCTGGCCCGCAGCCTGCGGGGCCCGGGGCCAGCAGGCCGCCCCGGTGACCAGGCAGCCCCCGAGGAGCAGGGAGAAGCCGGCGAACCAGCCCAGGAAGAGGGCCTCCCCGAACTCCCACCGGGGCACCACCTCGGGGACCGTGTCGTCCCAGAACTCCCGCACCGTCACGTGGGCCACCCAGGACACGGGCGCCAGGGCCGCGGCCCCCGCCGCCCAGCACAGCGCCCCTCCCAGCGCCAGCAGCCGCCGCTTGCGCCCTCGCCGCCCCTCTCCGACCCGCGAGCAGTCCAGCCCGCAGCCCGAGGCCAGCAGCCCCAGCAGCCCCAGCCCGTGGGACAGGAACATGAGCGCCCGGGACACCCGCAGCTCCACGGGCAGGGCCAGGAAGGAGTCGAAGTCCTTGCACTGCGTGCCCACCTCGTCCCGGACGACGCAGGCTTGCCACAGGCCCAGGGTCCAGCTCTCCATCTCGTTCAGCTCCAGGGTCAGGCGCTTCCAGTGCGGCAGGTAGGCGGTGATCACAGAGAAGACCCATCCCAGCGCCGACAGCAGGAGCCCAGCGAGCTGCGTGGCCCCCCTCGCGGCCAGAGCCATCGCGCCGACCCCGCGCCTCCCGCGGGAACCGCTGGCCGTGGGGGCGGGCGGCGTGTGCCGGGCCGGGGCCGGGCCCCCGGGATATAAGCTCGGGCCTCGCCGCGGGGTCATGGCTCCCTGGGCACGCTGAAGCGCGTGTTTGTTCTGGAATATAGGGTTTCACCGACGGGGCCCGGGGCTCGGGGCCTTCCGATAAGGAGCGGACCGCGGCCGCCTTCCGATGTGCGGGGTGAAACGATACCCCCGACGCCGGCGATACGCAGGCTGCGGACGAACAAAGGGGCCTCTGTGACCCTCACCCTAAAGGACAACGGAAATCTTTGTGCCTCGCTATGGGTTCCGTAGATTTGAGGGGCGATACGGGGCCAGCGCTCCGGGTAACAGGACCTCATTGTGGCGGCTTGAATCTGAGGTCCAGGATGGGAAGGCGGGCTCCCGTCTGACCTCCGCTCTGCGCCGGCCTCCTCGGACCCCACGGGTCTGGCCGGGGCCGCAGCGGCCGGGGACTCGGTCAGGACTGGGCAGGCGCCGTGCCCCCGGATTTCTCTGAATCCAGGGTTCCCTGGGTTAATGAGAACGGCAGGCCGGAGGCCAGTGCGCGGAGGTGCCCGGCGAGGAAGGGAGCATCCGGGAGGCCTGGGTGTCCCCGGGCGATGCCTGATCCTCATTAGGGA